TCTATGCTTCTATATCTGTAGGTAGATGCATAGTTATTGTAGGTAGATGCATAGATGCAACAGGTATTAATATTTGCTGCTAACTGAAAAGCCAAAAATGACTGCTTTCCTAATATTTGCAATGCTGATTTTCTTACTTCTATTGAGTTTTACCACATCTTGTTCTTAGTCTACTTTTCTGGAAATAAAACTTACTTTTAACAGTCTGTGCCTGTATACCATTACTCCTTTGTAACCTCCAAAATAGCTTTCAAGGTCTCAAAGGTAATTTGTTGATTTGATAATTTTCTTTAAATTATGTTCTGATAATTTGATATTTATCACTTTGATAATTATCTCAATTAGCCATTTTTCTGTTATCTCAGAGAAAAGGCTCCTTTAAATTTAATTAAAATGGTCAACCAGGAAAAAAGATCCAAAGGAGGGAAAGGTTTCAAAGTGAACTTCATCAAAGATCCAGCACAAGAGAAGGGTCTTGTAAGTGCTGCAGCAGGCTCAATTAGAGTTCTTGGACCTGGAACAAGTGCACAAAACAAATCTTTGGGAAATTTGTTGTTATTCCATCCATAGAACTTGGTGGTTCCAATGCTCACATGAAAACAAAAAGGTGATGACTTTTTCTTAATTTAAATTAAAACATTTCTAGCCTGCAGAATTGTGGAGAAATGCTTGACAAAGCTTGATCTGTAAAGTTTTGAAAACAATAGGATAATTAAAAGGATTCACAGTAGCCTCTTAAAAAGAGTTGCTGGTTTTCAGGACTTTTACTCATAACTGTAGTTGCAATACCAACATTTTCTATTAGGCACTTTATTTTTAATGTAATTTCAGGAAACTCTTCATTACTTCTGGTAAAATTTCTGCAGACTTTTTTTCAAAAGATGGGAAAAGTTAAATAGGGAAGAAAAGCCATCATGACCTACTGTTTGAGCACTCTAGATTGTTGTTTTTAAAATTTGTTTCTGTGGTTACTCTGGCACATCTATGGTCATGGGACAAATTAACAGAACAAATTACTGTGATACTTGAGATGACACAGCAGGAGGGGTCCCCAGCAAACTGATGGGACTGGGATGATTCAGGGTGAGTTGCTCCAGTGCAAAATGGAGCAGTTAATTTGTCCTGGGATTTCAACATAATTTTGCTGTGAGGCAGATCTAGAACACTCACAGAGTTGTAGGCAGTAGTCCTCTACAAAGGCAAAATGCTTTCAATGCCTTGACCTAGGTCTGCCAGAACTCATTTTACCTTTGCCTAAGACTGGTTCCACATAAGAATCCTTTAATTATCTACAAAAATTGAGACTAAAGAATTATTCCAACCCACAGGTCAGTCTCATGACTCATGATTACCAAAAGCATTTCCAGAAAATACTATGTCATCCTGTCCCCTTATATTATCCTCTCCCAGTGCCTTTGCTATGGGTCTAAATAGTACTACATAATCATGTTTCAGATTTTTCTATTCTTCTACTTTCCCTTCCTACTCTGATCTATACATGTGAATTGATATGACCCAGTTTGCTGTCACCAAATAACTGTCATTATACTTGAGAAGACTAGAAAAATGTGCTTTTCTGTGGTAAAAAAATCCCACCAAAATAAAAACAAACCCAGAAAACCCTCTTTCATTTTTAAAGGTCATCCCTGCATGTCTGAGATTAGAAGCGCAGGGAGCAGGATGTGGATGTACAGAGCTGCCTGCCTTCCACCTCTGGAGCTGCCAGTCTGTCCCCTTCTGCCAGGGCAAATCTTCTCTGCTAAGAGCACATCTGCTCCCCGGGCTGGCTGTTCAATCGACAATGATGTCTCGTTTCAAGTGTGACAGCACCGACCTGCTCGATCTCCATTCAGCTGCAGGTGGGGGCAGCGGAAGAGAAAGGGAGGGAGGGAGAGGGAGGACACTGCAACCTACGTGAATAATTGATAGTGCAAGGAAAGGAGAGCAGCTGGGTTCCCTGTCTCCATCTGCTCACCAGCTGGGGATGAGAGATCCTTGCTCAGGTAGGGGATGAACAGCTTAGCTGCTTTTATTCTCATCTTGCTTGCAATGCCAATTAAAAATATTTTGCATCTAGGAGGAATGGGAGCAAAGATAGGTGGGGGAGGGTTGATCCAGATCTTCTCTGCTGCTTGTGTGGCGTTGTGTAATGCATAGAGTTTGGGGCAGTTTCAGCCTCATCAGGGAAAGTGTGTATGCTTTTTAAAAGACATTGTGCTATTCTGCATTGTGTAGAGAAGCAGTTACAGAGAGAGAAAGGGAGAGTGGAGGTGGGGACAGTGGACGTCTGTGTAGGAAATGAAACAAACTAAAGGGATGGAGGGGTATGAGAGAGGGTCTGCCCAGACTCAAAGGAATCCCACCCTGATTATGTCAGTCATGGACATAAAATGAGGAGTCCAAGTGCGCTGCGGGAGGTGCTGTCTGTGCACACCCGGTGCTATATTTAGAAGCTCTGTGCATAGATCTGTGGAAACAGCTGATGTGAGAACATGTGTGTTTCTGTCTGTGGATGCAGCTTTGAGTTTATGTAATATTGAAGTAAAACTTTAAAAAATACAGGTTTTGCCCTGAAGAGTTTACCCTTGAAGGATATACTGCTGTGTTTATGTGGTACTGCGCAGCTTCCGTGAGCTGCTGATGTTCTTACAATGACTCAATTAAGAGAATTGCAGGGACCAGTTTCTGTGTTACAGCTAATACAGGCTTCTCCTATGTGAGCAAGATAAAATGCTAATGAAATGAAACACATTGAAAAAATCTGCTAACAAAAACTGGGAAAATACATAGCAAAAGCTATGGATACCAATTACTGTAATACATATATTAATATGCCTACAAGGATACCTGAAAGAACAAAAAACTTATATGCCAATCCCTAAACCACGCCATAACTATAAAATGCATAATGATCCATGCAAGTATGGACAGATATAGGGATTAAAATCTGAGACTGTAAGTACACTGGATTAGTCATATAAGAACACAAGTATTAATAGGAGCTGAATCTACTTACTACAACAGAAGGCTTATAATAGGTAATATTTTTGCATCAGCAGGGTAAATAGTAATAATTGTTACCTTGATTGTAAGTTGAGGAAGAGAAAGTGGTCCTGTGATTTGCTTACATGTGATTTATTCATATTGCTATTGCTAAAGGAAGTTAATTAGAACAGTAATTAGGGTATTTAATAATTGTTTACTGTTTTGCTTATGCATGTTGAGGGCTTTGTACACAACTGGAATTGCACTGAAGGTTAGGTAAAGCTGTGAGGCAGCTAAATGAAAGCTGAGCTCAGTGTGGTTTTGTACGTGAACAAAGTTGGCTCTTGTCTGTAGTGGCAAGCTGCCGAAGAACAAGACTGGCAGAAAGACCTGAGCCTCTCTGTATGGTTTGCTTTCACCATGACCAGGCTTGATAGTGCTGCTGATAATGACCCTGAGATGGGGGAGGGCAATAGTTACTGCTGGCAGCTTCTCTAACAGCAAAAAATAATGTCTCTTCCTTCTTCCTAGATGCAGCAGAAATGGCAATCTTGGCTTTTTGCCTTGGTCCAGTCACATCTCTACTCAGAGATTCAGGTGAATGAGTAAGACCTGCTTGTGCAGAGAGCAGCTGCTCTGTTCAGTGCCCTGGGTCCATTTAGGAAGCTTTTGAGTAGGAGCGAGGATGTATGAATTGGCCCATGCTCCAGCATCAGATCTCCTGGGGAATTACAAGAGGTAGACGAAAGGAAATTGAGTCATCTTGGCTCCATGCAAGTTACTAAAAACGGCAAGTGGACCCTTTAGTTGTCCATTCAAAGTCATCACCTATCTTGATTCCTTACTCCTTACAGTCTCTTTGCCCACCCACAGATCCTTGAAGACCCCATAATAATTTCTATCCAGGTCTTTTGAGTAGAATCTATAGGAAGCATTAGGATGAAAATAGTGCATTCATCCCCAAAACTTTGAAATTACTCCTTGCTCTCTGCATTTTTCTTTTTTCCCCCATCTCTATCTGCCAGCTCATATTTTCTGTCTGGTCTGTCTGCATACTGTTTGTGCTCTTCCTTTACATTTTTTCCTAGCTCTCTGGCAAATTCTGTCTCTTGTTCTGCGTTTCCTTATGTCTCCTTCATTAGTCAGAAAAAACCCATTGTGAGGTTGACATTTGGCGTAAGGTTGTAGCTGCTGTTTTTATAGGTCTTGATGTAAAGAGAATACATGACATCATCCTGTGGAATGAAACTGAGAAGCACAGGAAAAAAATATGTGTCCAGAAGAACTCTGTGTTCTCATTTAAACACAGGTATATTTATATTCTTTCTATAGCAGACCATGTTCTCATACTCATTTTATCAGGAATGACAATCTGTTGATGAGTGAATCTGTTGATGAGTCAATGAAAATACATGCGGTTAAGGCATTAGTGACCCCTGAAAAATTGAGCTTCCCTAGTTTACACATTGCATCAATGAGCTATTTCATAAGGGGTGCAGAGACAAAGCTCTGCTGTACTTGATGTATGTCAGGTCCAAATGACACTGATTTGGATTTAGTGAATTTAGTATCTTCCTAGCCTTCCCTTTAAAAGAATGGGATTTGTGTAGAACTGCTTTGATGCTCACTTTCCTCACTGGCTACTGAGAGCCTGAAGACGTGATCTTGTTCTACAGCAGAGTTGAATAAGTGAAACCCCTCTGTTGTCCCTGTCTAACGCTGTGCTTGTGTTACCTTCCCGGACAACCTGGAGAGCAGCGTCCCCGGCTCGGCTGTCCAGCAGCTGCTCCCGCACGCTGTGCTCCATCCATGGGCTCCCACACCGGGGGGCTCCAGGGGGAACAGCCACAGCGGAGGAGGGACAGAAGCCATCACCCCATCCCCCCTTGTCTCCTCGTCCTCCATCCCTCCTCCTCCTCCTCCTCCCCTCCGTGCTCTCCGGGGCCGCTGCCCGCCGGGCCCGGGCCCGGCCGTGCGGGTCCCTTCCCTTTCCATGCAGTGAATCCCGGCCCGAGAGGAAGAGGAGGGGTGGGGGCGGGAGCCGCGGCTTCGCAGGGGGCCGGCAGGGAGCCGTGCCCTTCTTCATGGCGAGGCCGGGGCAGAGCGAGCTCCCGAGGAGGGAAGCCGGGAGCTGACTCGGCGGAGCAGTCCAGCATGTTTTCCCGGGAGCACGGCGTCCCTGCCGGAGCCAGCGGAGGGTAGGTACCGGTACCGGCAGCGGGGCCGGTGCCGGCGGCAGCGGGGCTTGGGGCCCTGCCTTTCCCGGGCAGGGCAGCGGCTGCCGGCGTTAGGCTCGCAGCGCCGGAGCAGCAGGAAGAGCCCTCGCGGGTTGCCTGGAAGGGCGGAGAACCGGGGAGGGGAAAGGCGACGGCCGTGCCCAGCCCGGCGGGTCCGGCTCTGGCTGTGGGCCCGGCCCTCGCTCCCTCCCTCCCTCGGTCCGTCCCGGCCCCGCTCCGGCCGCGGGAGGCGGGCCGTGGGGCGGCCGCGGGTGCCCCTCTCCCTGGAAGGAAAGAGGGAGGCTCGGCAGGCTTTCTCCTGCCGTCCTCGGAGGGTGGGACCTCTCCTATTGGGAGTGTGGGTTGGATGGCAAGATTAATTTCCCCCTGGGGTTCTCCTTTCTCCTGCCCCGCAAGGAGAGCCGGCGGGGTTCTCCGGGCCCTCCCGGTGCCCTGCCCGCCGCTTTGTGGGTGCACGAAGTCCTGAGCACGGGCTGCCCACGAGTGGGAGCCGTGGCCTCCACGGGAGCTGCCCAGAAGCCAGAGGGGAGCGCGGGTGGGAGAGACGCTCCTTACTGGAAGTCAGAGTCTCTGGGCAGAAAGTTTGTGACCAGCTGAGAACAAACTGCCTCTCATCTGTAGTGATAGCTTCCTTTTTCTAGCTTCAGTAATTCCTTCTCTTGAGCTCTAGGAATCCATGTGTAAGCAAATTTCAAAGATGTACAGGTGTTCTGAGAGTAGGGCCATTCATGTCATGTTTTCAGCTGTCTCCACCGAATAGCTAACAGTTGTATGTGGTAAAGCAAATGCCTCTCTCCAAGGCAGAAACAAGAGAGTGAAACAGCAGAAGCTGTTGTTCAAGAGAAGTGGCTGCCCAGTTTTCCTTATGAGCATTTCAGGCCTGTTCTTCTCTCACATTACCTTTAGTTCTTCCAAATTGCCTGTCCCTTCTAGTGAGGGATTTAAAAAACATATTGGTGTCTCCCTGCAAGAAACTCTTATCAGGCTGGGACACCAGTTGTTATACTGACTGTTGTTCCATAGATAGCTGCAAATCATGCTGTGGTGTTTCTCCTAGTGGAAGGCTTCCAGATTAGCGTAAGTATTTACAACAGCCATACACCTGCTTCCCTGTGAACTTTCAGGAAAACAGTTATCTGAGGATTTGGGGCACTTACCTTTTAGAGTGCATCAAATCCCCATTTGCTCTGGAATACTTATGAAAGGGTGTATGAAATTCTGTCCAATTTGTGTTTTTCTTAGAGCAAATACTTGCATTGACTTGGTTATTGAACTGGCTCAGCTACAGCTGATAGCAATGATTTTGAAAACTGGGTAGAGAGATCCTATGACTGAAATAGCAGAGGATGCTGCAAGACAGGAATCCAAGGCATGAGCAGAGCTGTAGTGGCTTAGAGAGCTTCAAAGGTTCTTGTTCCATTTCAGATTTCACAGTGGAATTTATCAGTGGATCAGCACTACCTACATTTAGTTTGATTGTTTGAAATTAATGCACTGGTTACAGTCACTAGCGAAATCCTGGGTTAGCCTTCAGCATTTTCTAGGCCTTATGCTTCCCCTTATTGTCATTTCCTAGGAATAAAGCTTCGGCAAGTGTACATTTGCACATAAATATTCCTTTCCCAATCTTCAGAATTGCTTTGCTTTTGCAGAAGGATGATGTTCTTCTTTTCTGTGGTCAAAGAGTTTGAAGTTCCAATTTGAAAAGAAGTATGTTCCCTTTTTATAATACAGTCTAGTGCTTTTCATTCCAGAAGTTCAAAGTTCCAGAAATTGAATGTGGACATTAAAGAGATAATTATAATAGCCCCAAATTTTTGTGATATTTTATAAAAGATAATGTAAAATCCAATGCATTCTCTTGGGTTTCCAAAGGCCCATGGAGTATTCCTAATTTAGGATAATTACAGAATTGTGAACATCTCTGAATCTACAGTAAGACTGGTGATTTTGGCATCTACTGGACTCATTTGGGTGATAGAACTGTGCTAGAATTCAGTGGTAAAGAATGGTTTCTGCCCAAAGTTTTCCAGTCACTCCAGAGTGTTGAGATGAATTTATGGTGAGAGAACAGGGGCAGGATTAGCCACATTGACCATGTAGGAGCTGCCAGATTTCCATGATGCAGGTGTGTATTTAACTCCTCTGAATGATTCAGCATTCACCTCAGTGGCATGCCTAAGCAAACACTAGTATTCTTCGAGGTTCCAGGACATCGAGTTGCACAAAAGGTTCTATTGTTACACTTCTTTCTGAAAATGAGAATGTATCAAATTAAACTTGTGCCTTTTTAAGGTTTACTGAACAGAAACTTCAGATTTTTGAGACAGGGAAAATGTTTCATGTACTGCCTTGGACATAAATTTTGCTCATCCCAAATGTTCTTCAAGTAAATGAATAAGATGATAAATAAAGCATGTATTAGTATAGTATTAATATTAATTTAAAATACATTTGCCATCAAACTATTTCAATATTTATTTGAGGTTGTCAAGACTAACTCCTACGTCTTCCCTCCCAGACATGTTATGGCATTAATTTCTAGATGCATTATACAGATTTCTCTCATTTGAATTTCAGGAGAAAATTGTGGGATGTGCTATTTTGTGTAGATGAGCCTATATGCAAGTAACATTATACCACTGAGCCACTAAAATGAATTGTCAATTCTCAGAGAACTGGTGAGCATTAGGATTCTTGGAGCTCGTGACAGAGTAGTTTCAAGATTACAGAAATATATGAGAGGGAACATAGCCATTGCTTTCAAAGCAAGGATCTGCATGGCCACTCTCTCTTGACATGGAAGCAGCAGCAGTCATGCATCTAATAGCTACAGGACAGCAATTCTTTATTGCCTTTTAGGGTTATTATTTGCCTTGTAGGACTGAGTGCACCCTCAGCACGTTTGTAGATGACACAGAGATGAGGGGTGTGGTTGACACAACAGAAGAAGGGACCATCCAGGAGACCTGGACAAGCTTGACAAGTGGTGGTCCTGTGAGAATCTTGTGAAGTTCAACAAGTCCAAGCACAATGTACTGCAGCTGGTTTGGGGCAATCCCAGACGTGGGCACAGACTGGGAGATGAGCTCATTGAGAGCAGCCCTGGGGAGAAGAACTTGGGGGTTCTGGTAGAGGAAAAGCTGGACATGAGCCTGCAGTGTCCACTTACAGCCCAGAAAGCCAAACATACCCTGGGCTGCATCACAAGAGGAGTGGCCAGCAGGTTGAGAGAGGTGATTTTCCCTCTCTGCTCTTGTGAGACTGCATGTGGAATACTGCATCCAGCTCTGGGGTCCCCAGCACAAGAGAGATGTGAACCTGATAGAGTAGGTCTAGAGGAGGCCACAGAGATGTTCTGAGGGCTGGGTCTCCTCTCCTACAAATACAGGCTGAGACAGCTGAGGTTGTTCAGCATAGAAAAAAACATCTAGTACTTAGAAGGGACTTATTAGAAAGGGAGAGTGATTTTTTACAGGGCAGGTAGTAACAGGATGATGTGGAACAGTTTTAAAGTACAAGAGAAGAGATTTATATTACATGTTAGGAAGAAGTTCTTTACTCAGAGGATAGCGAGGCACTGGAACAGGTTCCCCAGAGAAGCTGTGGATGGTCCACCCCTGGAAGTGTTCAAGGCCAGGTTGGATGGGGCCCTGAGCAATTTGATGTAGTAGGTGACATCTGGGTGAGGGGACTAGATGATCTTTAAGGTCACTTCCAACCCAAACCCTTCTGTGATTCTGTGACCACCTAACAATCATATTCATGATTTCATTACAAAGTGGGTGAGTCCTGTCTCCTGTAAACTTGTGCTGAGTTCCCAGCCCTACCTATGTGGCCTTCACCATGACTTAACCCCAGTTCTGACTGCTAGTAAAAACTGTGAGAGGTGTGGAATGTTTAGATAGTAACAGTGGAGAGGTGCAGCTGGCAGTGAGACTGTCTGTAGTGCTGTGGACAATGCTAAATATGTCTTCTAAACTACAGTGTAGTGTTTGTATTGCTTTTTATTTTCTCTTCTATGAAATCAAATAAAGTCCTGCTGCTGTTTGTACACACTGCTGCTCCAGCAGGGACCATAGTAATAATATATTTTTCATAGCAGAATTGCAGAGAAAAGCTCACCTAATCTCCATGCTGGCTGTACCAGCAGTGGTAACACAAAACTGTGCCTGTATGTCTGCAGGGTGTTATCGGTTCTGTTCTAGTGCCATCTCTGTTATGCTCCTGTCTTTGAGATTAATACCCAAGCTGTGGCAGCTGGGGCCATCCTTTTGGTGCTGATTTCAGTGGAAGTTCAGGACTACTTTCATCCTTTTTGATACGGTTCTGTTTTGAGATCTGATTCTCAAAGCTTCTCACAAGACATGTCTTAATTCTGTTCCAAATCCATGATGGAAGAGGAGCTTGGCAAAGTAAAATTATTCAGCACTTCCATGACAGTTGTGAAGAAAATATTGCATGTAAGCAGAGACAGAGCAGTCAGAAGCCAGAAAAGTTTTGCTGTTACATCCAGAATGTTTGAAAGTGGCAAGTGGTAAGTTCAACAACTTCAGGGATTCTCAAAGGTAATGACAGCTTCCTTATAGGCAAGAAATGGCCTGAGGAGAAGAATAGTATGCAGAGGGCAAAGGAGGCACTGCAGGCAAGCGCTGACATCTTGAATTCTCTTCAGAGTTAATTTTTTTTTTTTTTTTTCTCTTCTGCCTCTATCTGTTGCAGGAGGTCTGAGGAGGCGGTGCAGGTTTTTAGTGATGTTATAGACTCTCCCACTGAAGGCTTTCCATGTGTCCTCACTCCTGCTGTCCCCAACAAGGTAAAAGCAGTCCATGTTTGGCTCAGGGCTGGTGTATGCTTCGAGTTATATATGCAGAAGAATTGTCTGAAATCAAGTTTGTGTGCATGTATGTCTTACAGCTATAGTTGTTTCCTTCTGTGAGAATCCTAAACTTGCTAATTTGACCAGCTCCTATGCCATTCTATCTCAAGTCAATCTGAGCCATTGAAAGAGAAATTCCTAATACCTGACTGACCAGGTTTCAGGTCAAGCTTTTGCAACACAAGAAGATAATTTGGCCAGTTGTTTTGTGCATGCTACCAATTAAGGAAGAACCATTCCATCATGTCTTCAGCAAACAAGTAGTTTCTTTGCCAAGATACGGAAGCATCTGTTGGCTCCTTCAATATCTGGGTTACCACAGAAGATAATGTTAGCTTCTGCAAATGTCAAATTATTTTTCTCTGTTGTCTTTTCCTTTTCACAGACTGTGGACTTGTTTGAGATGATTGAAAAAATGCAGGTAAGGAGAAGTAATTCTGTCAATTTTTGAGATCTCTTAATTTTTTGTAGCAAACAAATAATCAGCTACTATTTGTCCTATTGCTTACCTCATAATGTCATTTATTGTGGGCTCACAAAATGTTTAGGTCTTCTATGCTCAATCTCTTATTCTTCAATGGGATTTCAAGAGCATTTTTCTGTGTTCATTTTTCCAGTCAGCGTGATGGAAGCAATAGACACAGGTTATTATAATTCTGTCTGTTCTTTGCAGAAATGTGATTCTGAGAGAAAATCAAAGTTGCAATAAGTTATCTCTGGCATCTTCTTCAGGCAACTCTGTTCTGCTGGGTAGCAGATATAATGACAGGTGATTCATTGGATGTTAACCTAACTGCATTTAGCAAGGTCAGACAGTTTAATAAATAACTACTGTAGGTCCTGTCTTTAACTTGTGAAAGAAAGAAGGATTCTGGCTTAATTCTTACACAGAAATACATGCATTTAGCTGCATATATTATGTTATAAACTTTAAACAGGGCAGAGTTGAAGTTTTTCCCCTTTCACCATATCAAATAAAGAAAATGTAATATATGTGGTAAATATCTAACAATGAAGTCTTCAGATTTTTCAGACTGTGTATTATCAGAGCATCCTTGCAGGTTACCAGTATTTTCTCTGAGTGGTGCATCTTCTTTAAAGTGGTTAACCTTGGCATAACATAACACATAGCAAGGCATGTAACTTCTGCCTTTTATTATGTGCTGGAATTAAACTTATCAAAACCATTTAACTTATTTTGTGGAATTTGGGTGATCAAATTATGAATATGGGGAAACTGACAGAATTTAGTGAGACTACAAAGGTGAGGAGGTGGAAAGTAGCAGGAAAATGCTGAGTTTAGCATTGTGAGGCTGAAGTACTTTTTGGCATACTGGAGAGGAGGAGTGTGGGAGAGAGGGGCTGAAAGTGTGTCTGCCATGTATTCATGTGCAGACAGACATAGACATTGCAACCACTGTGCTGACAGCCAAACTATGTTTGGGATGTGTTCTCAGTGCTTTAGAGTAGCAAGCTCTGTAAGCGTGCCAGGCTCATTTAACTGCATGAAAGTAAGCTTGAGCAAGCAGTGCTGCTTTAGTTCATGCACATGTTCAGAGGCTGTGACAGTCCTTCCCAGGCCTTTTGAAAATAGATAAGGAAGAGTCATTACCAGGTGTCCTTCAGTGGAAGACTGGTGCTTAAGACTGTCAGTGTTTCTCAGCTCCCAGTTTACCATATGGAAAGTTTGACTGGATTTGCACCTCTTTAGTTAGAGAGATATCAGGGAGCTGATGGGAATTTCCAAGGCATGCAGACTGCCTAATTTTGCATCTATGGTGTTTTCTTAGCTGCTCATTATCAAGACTTTATAGCATTTTTTATTTCTATTTAAGCTTGTTTTGTCACCTAACATGAAATAGGAGAATCAATAACCGCTGTTTAACAGATTTTTTTGAAAGTTAAGTGTTTTCCAAGAGAAAAAAAAAAAATTTTCTCTAATACTTTTTATATTTGTTTAGATTTTTACTAATTTTTTATTCTCTTATGTTTGTTTTTGCTTTCCCTTTCCTTCCATTTGACTGTGACTTTCCTTTAGATTTGTTGAGTCATTCTTGAAAACGAAATCTGAGATTTTTGTTAGCAATCAAAGTGAGTGAAAACTAAAGAAGGAGACTTGAACATTACTTCTGTGAAATAACAACAAAAAAGCCTCAGGATAAAATTGATTATTGAGTACTTTAACAATTGGATTGGAATACAATTGTTGGACTGAAAATTAGGATAGCCATTTCACATTCTGTGTGATAAATTAACAGGTAAAGTTGTACTCCCTCTTTACATTGAAACAAATCCCAAGATTTGGGAAAGAAGTTTACCTTATTTTTTTTCTTTCTCATTTTCTTTTTGTTTTTCTCTTCAATTTTATTAATAATTTCTTGGAAATAAGTGGGCTACTGGCCACTTCTTTCTCTGCTTACAGATCTAGTGAAGTCACAGTATATACTCTGTTAAGGACACTTAATAATATGTTGTTCCTAGATTGCTTTGCAGTGCAGGCAATTGAAAAACAAAGAAATTTTGTTTCATCCAATAAGCTCAGATATTTCAGGTCTTCATATGTTTCAATAGCCAGTCCCTCTTCACTTCACTGCTTGTGTTCACTCCCTCTGTTCTGCATTCTTACAATTTCTGCATATTCAGTTTTATTTTCTCACAAGTACTTTCATGTTTTTTTTCCCTGTGTCCCGTTTGGTATCCAAGTTGTCTGTTTTGAACTAGTCCCCTCAAGGCACTGCTCTTTCCCCATAGAATATGTGTATTATCATAGCATTGTTATGCCATGTTTGACCCTGACTCTGGGTCTGGTCACCTTTTCCTCTGTCATTCATTCTTTCATCCTGCTCAGGCCAGGTGTTTCCCCTGTTCAAGACCTTGGGTATATGAGATTCCCAGTCTGATATGAGATTCCCAGCTTCCAGGAAGCTATCTGGGGGAACTGGCAGTGCTGCAAGCCAAACCAGATCAAACCAGAAGGATGTCTCAAGGGGTGGCTGAGACTGCTGCAGTTTATTCCTCTCCCTTTTGAGGAATGACAGTGATCATCAAGCAGTTGTTCTGCCCATGCTTTGATGCTTCAACAATTTAACGCTGGTTACCCTTTAAAATAAAGCTTTAGACTGTACAGCCCAGGGTTGCATTATTCTGACCTTAAGCTTCACTCTAGAGGAGAGGTTGGTAGATTTAAACTTGTCTTCTGCTTCCAGGCTACCAGGAGTTTCCTTAACAGTGCAGAGTCATGGAATGTGCTGGTACATTCCTTTGCTCTCTGTAGGGGCTCTGACATGGAGCTCCTTTACAGCAGCCCAGAAAGTTTTCCCTCAGGCTTGCTGAGATACTGGTCTTCTACCAGGACCTCCTTTGAAACTGGAAAATTCTTGCAGTTATCAGATTGCCAAAAATGCCAAGGAAGGAGAGAGAAATATTAGAAGATTGCAGTTTCCCAATCTCCATTTCTGTCCTAGTACTTCCCACAGTTTGATGCGGAAGTCTGTGGCTGCTTTGTACCTATGTGTCCATCCTGCATCAGTCCTGTTTTGACAGTGCACAGGACTTTCTGGTAGTGACAGGACTTTCTGTCTCTTTTCCAAATCCCCAGATTTCACAACTTGATCTTCCTTGTGAGCCCCAACTCAGTAGGTTAATGACTGAAACTGGAGACCATATCAACAAAACACTTTTTAGTGCTTACATTCCACAAACTAAACTTTTTCAGCTTTACAACTTCCCTAAATGCAAAATGGTTACTAACTACTTCTGCAAAGGATGAAGATCACTTGTCAACCTCCGTTCCATCTTAATTTCACAACTCACCACATCCTGGTAATTGGTTACTCATTTTGTCGATGCTGTGTACTGACATCACAATTCAAAACTTATGAAGTTTTCCTATGAAGAATGTTTTCAGGCTGATATTTGTTTAGTCTCCATTGCTGAAAATACACAAGGAAAACAATTTCTTTGGGTAGGGTGTGTAACTGTCTTGAAGCTCAGCTTTTGTAGTTTGATCTTGTATCACCCTGTAGATAACATGTGAAGCTTCTTTCTTCTAGTAGAGCTAAGGAAAGTAATTTGTTTTTTTGTTATCTACTAATTGTTCCTTGCTCGCTTTACTGTGTTTTGGTATTTAACCAATTAAAATTAGTTGTTACTGCTACTTTTTGTGATTGAACTCAACTTCAGACTTCTGAAAAATGACCTCATGCATCTACTACTAGTCTCCCTTACCCTGGAGTGTGGCCATAATGTTTTACTTATGATGTTTCTAAGAGTATTTTAAAGGTGTTAAGCATTTGTTATGTACTCAAGGTCTGGCTCCTCATGATTTCATGAAGGTTAAGGTTTTTTAATGGCTCCTTCTTAGGTTCTTTTAATAAACTTTTTCATTTTCCTAAAATCTTGTTTTTATGTGAAGTAGATGTTTTGGGGTTTTTTCTTTCCATTTTTTCCTTTTGTTGCTCCTGCAAAGAGCATCCTAATTATTATTAATCCTCAGTAGTAAGGTTGCTGTTGCTCAGTGTTAGTGGTAGTATGCTAGCAGTTTTTGTACCCTGTACAGCTGGAGTATTGTCCAAAGCTCTTGTTCCTGAGCCTCCTAAGTCTCCACTGTAGAGCTCCTTTGAGATTTACCTATTTCTACCAGAATCTAGTTGACAAACTAGTTCCACTGTAGAATATGTGCATAGGCAAGGCTGTTACAAATTCAATCCTGCTTATTTTCACAACAAAGTCAAGAGCTTCTTATCCTGTCCAGAATCCCTGATTAGCCATGCCAGTCACTGATGGCATATAAAAATGTAGTCTCAGCACCATCTTTCAGCATGAGAGTTACAAGATTTAGGTGACAGTAGTTGAATACTCATGTAAGAGAATGTTTTAAATCCTGGTGCTCACCTTCTATCTGATGATGAAAATTCTGCTTCTTACTCTTCTGTCTGAAATGCCCACTTGGAGTATGGCCTGTTGACCCACATATCTGCTGGTCTGGGCCTCTGCTCAGTCTGTTGGGGCTCTCCTCACTACAATTGTCCTATTCTCTTGTGCTTCTGCTGCAGAGGTGGGGTGGAAGTGAGCTACTTTGCCGTGGTGAGGATTCAGAGGATGGAATAACCTTAAGGAGGAGATTCAAGTCCTAATGCCAGCTTCTGATTGAAGAGGAAACTAGGCAGCCAGTCGCCTTTTGCCCTGTTATTTCAACCCACCTCGTAGTCATTTCATTTTTTTTTTTTATTGCTTAGGATAGGAAGGAAGGTAGCTAGAAGACATTAGTGAATCAAGTAAGAGAATCAGTTTGGGAGGTTGTTTTTAATATCTGCCAGTTGTCTGCTTTTTAAGAGGTATAAACTCGAGAGTAGCTTTTCAGTTTTCATGCCAGATTAGGGAACTGGCCATGTTCTAGCTGTACTTTTCCTTTTATTTGAATCTTCAAAAGTTTCTTAAAGTGGAAGATTTTATAGAGGGACAAAATATGCATATTGAGGCTATGGAGAAGAACACAGAGGGTAAGTGAAACAGACATGCTGAAATACAGGATTCACTGTCTGTCACTTTATGTTTCCAGGGGAGTCGTCTGGATGAACAGAGATGTTCCCTTCCAGCTCCTCTCAAGGTGAGGCCAAGTTATTGTTGCCTCCTAAATTGCTGAGAATGGCAGATAATTACTGACCTGGCTTGCAGTGTACTTTCATACTGGAATGAACAGGGAGTCTGCAAACATCCCAAAAACACTTACGAGCTTGCCTTTTTTCTTTTCTTTTTTTTTTTTTTTTCCTAGTTGCTGCAGAAGGGGGTGAAACTATGTAGCTGAAATAGAATTAACTTTTCCCTTTCTCTAATTTAAGTGGCTCCAGTAAGAGTTTATTATTATTAAAAGTGTTAGTTTTGACTAAGTAATTTCTTAAATTTATTCAATTTAAGAGCTGTAATAATATTTATGAAACCACGTAGTATTTATTTTAGTAGTCTGCTTGATGACTCATAGAGATGCTACTAGAAAGTTGCTCTGTTTTGCCAATATTAAGCCAGTAAGAAAAGATTCCTATCTTTAAATCCTCAAGTTGAGGATTAAACTCCACTTCTTCAGTCTCAGCTCAGGCCTACTAACCTTAAAATCAAACCTGACCTTGACTTTTATCTTGGGATGACCTATAAAAAAGCCACATCAAGAATTGACACAGCTTTATTCTGACAGAGATAGTCAGTGCTCTGTGTGGTGATGGAGGGGGCATCCAACTGGCATAAACTGGCTCAGATACTGCTTCTGTTCTCTGAGTCACACCTCGGCATTGCTCAGATGCATACCACAGAGCAGCCATGGAGATGACACAGCCTCAATCTCACTGTAAATAACAGCACTTTTTCTCCCATTTCTACTGTCATCCCTGTCAACAGGACAGCAGCTGTCTAACACTCTGCAGAAGGAAAAGAGAGAGGCTGCCTCTCCTAAACACATCAAGTTTGCCTATAGTTTGGCTACTTCCTCATTTTGCATGCTTACATTCCCTGTAATTTGGAGGAGGAGAGTGGGTAAAATCTGACTCTGAAGTTTATTGTTCTCAGAGTTCTTTATTATAATGCTGAGACCTTGGAAGTGGAGTCTAACCTTAAGTCCCGAAGTAAAACTCTAAGGATGACCTAGGGAAGAACAGAAGCTGAGGATGCAGCTTGCACAGTCATGAGAGCATAATCCTTTAAAAGATGTCACATTTTTGCTAATGGCCTCTTCTGATTTCAGACAGAAGAGGAGTATATTCCTTATCCCAGCATCCATGAGGTGAGTTAGTACTGCTCTCTCCTCTCTGTATGTCCTTGGACTTCATTGGTTTTTCAGCTTATTAGCATTCCAGCTTACAGACCTGTCAGCTTTAATGCTTTCTGTCCTTCTGAATAGGTATTACAGAAAGGGTGGCCATATCCTCTCATTATCCTACCCCAGTTTGGGGGCTACTGGATTGAAGGGACCAGCCACAACCTCTCCAGCTTGAGTCCAACTCTGTCTGATGTACCCTTTTCCTGGAGTGGTAAAGTGAAACTGGAAAGTGACCCTACAGCCAAGCTGTACCGCAAACATTTTCTGGGAAAGGTAAGGGTGACCTTCACAGCCTTCTTTTCCCACCCAGCACAAGGCTGAAATGTCTCTCAGGCTTCTTCTGGTGGGCTTAAAAATGTCTGCACTGCTGCTGCATTTCAGTTCCTTATGATGCCTTGAACTGATGTAAATGAGGTACATACTAAGATATGGTCTGTAGTCTTTTCAATTGGTTGTGTTCCCTTGTGAAATGTGCATCATCCTGTGCATTAATAGAAATGTGCACCATCCTGTGCATGGGAAGTGCTTTTATTTATTTAAGAAGGTCTTTTGAGTCTCCTATACACGTACCAACCTTGGGATAACAAGTGGACAAAAGTGTAATAGTACTGGAAGTGGAAATAGCATTTTTTTTAGAGGGGACTTCAGCACTGGCAGTGCAGGCTCCTCAGCAGGAAGCAGAACATTCCATTTCCCTCAGTGTTTGGTCATTACAGAATGTATATGTTGAAACTGGGCCATGTGTTTTATAGCTGTTGATTTAAGTAAGTTTGGTGCTAAATGTTCCATGAATTTAAAAATTCCAGTTCGATGCATAGGGAAACAGAGCTAGGCCTCATAAAGTGAATGTTTGCTGGCCAGCCATGAAGGTCCATCTGGGTGGGCCTGTTTAGGGAATTGGCTTATTACCAGACTGAATCTCAGGATGATATTAGCCATAAAGAACTAGTGAGAAAAAGCCATGATCTTTTCTGAGATTTGGTTCATGGCATAAGGAAATAAGAAAACTTGACAAGTACACTCACACTGCATCTTATTCAGTGATCTCCCTCAGCGACTACTGAACAAGTTCAAAAACAGAAATAGGTGGTGCTTTGCACAGTGCTGGGGACCTGTGCTGAGGTAGTTATGCTTGTCAGAGTGATTTTCTGTAGTGAATCTTGTTCCACAGCACTGGAGAATTATATTAATATGATTTATAAATAATTAGGGAAAAAAAATAAGCCTTCCTGGAGGCTTCCCCTCAAGACTAACAGATTTGCTGTGCAATCTGTTAATGGACATTTATCCTGCAACCTTCTGGAAGCTTTCAGTATGCCAGCTGTAATTATTTTTCTGTCATGGTAAATTTAGGGTTGTGCTTGAAGGCTTCCAGAGCCAGAGAGGACGAGAGGCAAATTTGGATACGATTTTTTCAGTCCAATTGTTGGATTCACTGCTGACCTGATATCGCAAAACAGTTGAGGTTGGAAGGGACCTCTGGGGCTCATCTTGTCCATACTCCTGCTCATGCCATCATTGTTCCTTCCAAGTGAGATCCAGGACTTCCTCTATTGTGGAGCTTTGCATTTGCAAAGTGCCAACCATTAGTTCCTCAGTACTACAGAAAAGCTTTCTCCTATATTCTTCCTTTTCTGGTGTCCGGTGTTTTATTCTTTGCCTTAACTGACATGAATGTGTGTCCATGTTCAGTTAAACATGCAAGTTTTTGAGCAAGCCAGTGCCAGAAAAGAACAAGGTGAACAGACTCTTGTGTCACAGAAAGCTTCAGCCATGGCTAGAAAACTTTCCCCACGGTTTAAAGACTTAGTTAAGGAGAGAGCTCAGAGCTTTTCCACTCACTAGAAGAGTATTTCTTCAGTGCAAAGTTAGCAGTGATTTTGATGCTGTGTTGGATCTTTTTCTTGTTGGTAACATGGGAAAGTTATTTCAGCAATGTCAGGAAAGGTCTCTTTCATGCTTTGAATAACAGCAAACAGTTCTTAGCTGAAGAGTCTGAAAGCATCATATGGTGGGAGAGACATAGCCAGTGGTTTAGGGAATATCCTTTAAGCAAGACAGGAGATCAAAGTATTGTGTGGTACTACCCTTAATGTGCATGTCTGTGTTGTGTATGTGTGTATGGAGATTGCTCAAACTCAAAGAATTCTGTGATACTTTTTACAGAACATCTTACAGCAGACCCTATAAAACAACCACCAAAAAAAGTGCAGGAACATTTAAGCCATAGCTGAGTTCCTTTTCCTTGCCTCATGATCTGTATTTTATATGACAATTACACATTAAGATTTATTTAGCCTTTAGGAAGAAGGCTGTAAAACCTTATGTCTTATACTGTGGGAATTATTCATGTCTGTGTTTTTCAAGGCTGTAATGAAGAGAAGTAGCCTGAAGCTTGGAGGTATCTAATAAAGGTATACATTGTAACTGCCAGTCAAATAAAGTTAGGGTCCAGTTTCTCAAGCACTTGAAGCTCTCATTGCTGAGGGAGAAGTTTTCTTGCTATGCATTCATATGTGATCATGTATTTCTCCTTCATGCTGTCCTTTCTTCATGCTGGTTAAAGTTGCTGCAGATGGCAGATGTCTTAGTAGCTTTATAACTTCTTAGGCAAACTGTCAGCATTCCTTGTGTTTTCTGCTAGTCGTTTCCCTTGGCCCATGGAAGATACTAAATTGTTTTTAGAGAGATCTATTTGAAATCCAGAACTACCTTTCAGATTATATTAAATGTTACAGAAACTGCTTCTTTGGCTGAACAAATTTGTACTTAATACATAGGTCATCTCAGCTCCAGGGTATCTTGTAATCACTGACTTGCAATCTTCAGTATCAAATGCAAAGCCTTTTGATGGTTCATCTCTAACTTCAGGACAGCTAACAATAAAGGCTGCTGTCCGCTGAAGGAATATGAGTCTGATGTATGTTGCCTATGTGTTTTTACAGAGAAAGAAAATAATAAGGAATAAATTATAGGTTTATGCATACATATGATTGCTCAGATCTCAGTTTAAACCTCAGGCTTACATTCAGGATCATAGCCAGAGTGGCTTTTACAAAAATTCAGTTGTTTTAAGATCTCCACTAATTCTGTTGTCTAGTCTCCTGTAAGGATTGCACCCATTTGTGTAGCTCTGCCTAGCTATGTCAGTTGCAGAGCTGATAGCCCAGTCTCCAAAGCAGTTGAGATCCCCCTGTATTGGATCTGCTGGGGTCTGGCTTAGACGTCTCATCTCTGTGCTTTGGATATCAGTGTTACTTTTAGCCACAGCTAACCTCAGGCTTTGGCTCCTCTTCCTTGCTTTGCCTTCTAGTTCTGATTTTTGTTGGCATTATGCCATCTTTTTCCTTAACAGCCTGTCTTGGCCATCCAGCTTGGCATTTGACTTCTTTAGTTTAAGGACTTTGAGTCTAGACTTCCAACAGATCATGGAACAATGCTTTGCTCCTTGAATCTGTCTCTTCTTCAGCTACTCTGTCTTTCTGCCCTTGGTCACAGTGGCTTACTGCATCTGATTCTTATTCACATCCCACAAATCCATTAGTATCCTGAAACTCATGGTCAGGAGGAATTAACTGTCCTTTGTGGCTTCCTTTGATTTCAGCTTTTTTTCCCATGTACTGTAATCGATCAGTGTGACAGATCACACTGGTCTTCTGTGATTTGAACACTGCAGCAAGAGGCCATATTATTCTGTTTGCCTCTTGGCTGCTCTTAGACCTTACCTTTTTCAGACTCCCTTGTTTGATCAGCCATGGAACCTTTTGCCTAGTATCTGGGAAGTTCTGGGTGTTGGGTGTTTTCTGTCTCAAAGAGGAGGTGAGGACAATGACATCTTTAATACTTTAAAAAGTTAGACAGCTACATCTTCACATTTTGGTTTAGGGTAGTGACTGTAGTCTTATTCCTATTTTTTGTTTCAAAGAGAGGATTGGTTTATGTTTGTTAGGTTCAAGTTGGCTGTGTCCACACAGATATCAGAGTATTTCACTAGATATATTTTTATTTCTGACAGTGAGTCAGAACTATCATTTATACAAAAGATTTAGACAGCAAAAGACAATCTTACTAGTGTTTTGAGAGAGGTTGCAGGTTGCAATTAATCAGAGCCAGAGCAGACCTTTTAGACATATATATATTCTATATATTCTAGGCAAAAGACTGAGGGAGGAACTGACAGACTAGCAATAATTTTTTATCAAATTACACTTTACTCCCACTGAATTCTTCACTAAATCATTGTACCTGGAGTATTCCTTTCACAGAACATATTCCAAGCCGTGCAAGTTTTCACTGTACAACTGAATACAACTTGCTGTCCCACTTCTGTGTCATACATGAGGATGCTTTTCCACTAGGATGATGGGAGTGATCAAGACATTTCTGCACAATTTCACCTTAATAGTATTTTCCTTGTGCTGAAGATTTCCATACACATCCTGTGTCAAAAGGCTTTAACCTTATGAGGTTAGAGATTATATAGCAATAGATATGATATAGCAATACAAAATATACATTGCTATACCTAGGCCACTGGAACATGGGTTTGTACCCAGGAGAAATGTATGGCCACAGCCACTTACATAGAGAGACTGTAAAAATGTTTGCAGTATCTTTCATTGTTTGACTGCATGACTGTTCCAGACACACTCCATTAAAGTTGGACGGTGTTAGTGGCATTGCTGAGAACAGTCTTCTTCTGCAAAACCTCTTTGCTAACTGACTGTATCCTGACATGTGAGCACTCTCGGAGTTCAGTCATTTACCATAACCCTGCTGTTGCTCTTTAGTTAGAAAATTCCCACAACCACATCCAGTTGAATGTCTGGAGGACACTGCTTAGTCAAGCAGAACCTGAATGGATACAGGGAAAGTCTGTGAAAGATAGAATTTTATTTACAAGAAACTCAGTTTCTTGAAAACGTGTTGCTGAATGTTCCAATACTATTCCTTCTCAAGAGCCCTTGTGATGTTGGACAGGTGAGGAGGAACTGAACTGACTGGATGCACTTTGACTGATATGCTCAGGCACTGATGATCAAGCGGGCTGGAAGACAACATACACACATCTGGAAGCATGCTACTCCTAGTTAAATTCAAAATTAGCTAATCTTGAGTGACAGGTTGTATGCAAAAAAAACAACTTGGAAAGCTTCTCCAGGAAGCATGTTGGAGATAATGCATTTTGGTTTCCTGTTTGCAGGAGCACCAGAACTTTTACTCCAGTGACATGTCCTTGGGCTACCTAGTACTTTCTGTGAAGTATGAACAGATCGAGAAACAGGAAAATCTACGCCTGTTGCTGAGGTAACAGTGCCTGTTATTGAAGTGTATGCTACTGTGCTGTGTCCCTAGTCTTACCTTGTGCTCCCTGTGCATAGATGTGGGTGTGAATTTCATATCTTTCTTCTGGAGAGAAAAGAAACTGCAAAAAACACTTTGAGGCTTTTTCTCTTGCCTCTGCTCTTGAGTTGCTCTCAGCAGTTTCCTTAAAGAAATTGGTGTGGTGCTTACAGGTGCATCTTCATAGTACCTGTGTGGAAAACACCTGTTCTTCCCTCAAATAGAAAGTTTTTCTGATTATTCTGTCTATTTAGAGACGTGTGAGTACTCTCTAGGAGATTATGGATTCCCTAATGAAGGACAGCCTAGCCCAGGCTTTGTACTTGACACCAAGGCTCCCTTGAAGGTGTTCTAGAACATTCCCTAGATTCCCAGGGCAGTCTATGAAGCCATAATCCTTAGAGAGGGTTACAAAGAGAGACATTATGTTATGAAGAGGGAGCTACTGGATGAACTACAAGAAGAACAGAGAAGGATCTTGTGTAGCTGAGAGGCCACTGCAGAGAAACTTTTTACCACACTATGGGCTGGGTGCACTCCCAGTAGACAATGCTACTGGAACCAAGTGATGTACAGTTGCCACTGACAAGGATTTGTCCAGGACTGAGGAGAAAAAAATGATTGCATAGGAATTAGCTACAAGAAAATCACTGGTGAGTTTCTTCCACTTTTTCCAGAGAATGCTTCAGACTGCCAGCAATAATCTGGGAATAAAGAGAGAGTCTGTTTGTGAGCTGTGCCTGGGAATGTTTATCTTCCTATGTGGAAGAGACCAGGGAAGAACAAAAGGGTAGTTATTCCTCCATTAAGATATTTTATTGTATGCAGTACTTTTTTCCTCAATAGCTTGTTTATAGTGGTTTGAAGAAGCTTTTGACAGCCCAATATTTCTTCTTCCTTAGAAAGATATCTCTCCTTAAGTACACATACAAAGAAGAAGGCAGCTTTCCTCTGTCTTCCTCTGGCAGCTTTCTGGAACAGTGCTACACCAGTTTCTACCTCCTTTACTTTGCATGGATCTGCTTTCGTAGGCTGTTTCTAGCAGACCTTTTAACACTCTTTCAAGCTCTCACTGATCGTGGGAAACCCTTATTATTCTGTGTCCATGAATTATATTTTGACATTTAGATTTCTGTGAAAGAAAATGGTGTGGGAGGGAAGCAAAATACTTCTTCAAGGCAGACAAGACTGCAAAGGAGCAAAGACACCAGGGGCTTGTGTTTTGTTTCCTCTGCTCACTACAACGTGATGGGCAGTGAAGAGTGACAATACCTTGCTTTTCCAGTGATTCTATGCACCATAGTTGAAATTAACCCTCTGGAATTAACTGCTTTAACAATAGGAATGGCTACTCTTTCTTTAAAGATCCAGTGTTGCTTGTGTCTCCCTTCAGCCATCAGTCTCTAATACCTTTTTTGTTCTATGTCAGGACTCGTACTGGCACCAAACATGATCTAATTCCCATTTCCTGTCTGAATGAGTTTCCCAATGCTGTTCAGATGGCAAAGGTGAGATTCATGCTTGCCTATTTGTCTTAAGGACTCATTCTTCAAGCTATTTTCACCTCTATCCTCTCATTTCCCTCTTTTTCTACTATTCACCAGTAGAACTGTTACATAGTTCCCTTTTACCCTTCCATTTGCCTTCTTTTCTTTCTCTTCTAATCTTTCCATAGAATTTTTGCCTGAAGGGGCTCCTGTCAGATAATTATATACAGTGCCTATGCTGTCATGCCTGCAACAAGCCAGGGCACATGATAATCACACTTCTATTTCCCTGTCTATCTCACTCAACAGCTACTGTGTGAGGATGTGAATGTTGAACGCTTCTTTCCTGTCCTGTATCCCAAGGTACAGTATTCTGATATGTCTGTATATCACTTTTCCATCAAGGTCTGGCTAATGACATCCAGTTGACAATTTCTGTTTTCATTACCTCAGGCCTCACAGCTTATTGTTGCCTTTGATGAACATGTCATAAGCAATAACTTCAAATTTGGGGTCATCTACCAAAAACCTGGACAGGTAAGACCCATCAGATCCCATGGTACTTGGGGCAAATGAAAAGAGTAAATTTTCTTAGCTTAAAGGGTGTAATAGCAAGGTCTGCACTGTCCAGAAGCAGTGGCTTGGAGGCAGCAGTGTTTGTGCAGTGCCATGGTTCCCTTGGCATGCCTCTTCCACCCACAATTTCTCTGGCAGTTTAGGCTTTGTGGATCTCTGAACCCTAACTCTAACCCTCATGGCAGCCTGGGGCTGAGGCACAGGGCCCCAGTACCATGGGGGGCTCAGATCAGAAAAGTATTCAAGCAGAGGTGTTTGTTGGTTGAACTGTCTATAGAAATTACTGCCTGCTCTTTGTACTCCTTGTGCTTCTTACTAGTTCTGCTTTCCTTCTATAGACAACTGAAGAAGAAGTCTTCAGTAACACAGTAGAGAGTCAGGGTTTCCTGGAGTTCTTGGATTTCCTTGGTGACAAGATTCAGCTGCAAGATTTCCGTGGGTGCGTACACAGGGCAGATTAACTTAGGGAAAACCATGAGTTCAGAGGCTGTGACTCTGTTACAGCTCAGCTTCCAGAGAAGTGCTGCATCTTCTGAATCCCAGTGCAGGTGAAAAAGCCCTGGATGCTTTTGTCAGCCATTGTGTCTGGGAACTAGTTGGAGCTTAGCTCTCTGCTGGTATTTTGATTTAAAGGTCTCCTGGTATCTCAATCTGACACGCAGCATCAGCAAAGAATAATTTTACTTGGCAGTGCAAATACTAGTTTGTTTCATAGTGGTATGCGGCAGTATTATTTCAGGCTCTTTCCATGAGGCATCCCATCCCTTCTGTAGTTCTAACGTATGGAATGTGTTTCTCAGAAGAATACCAAAGAAGGTAGCTACTTTGAGGATCCCTGCTTTAAATTCATAGCTTTTAACAAGCTGGTATGTTCACCAACACAAACATAGTGCAGCTTCAGTCATTGCATTGGTTTGGGGAAGACTTGGTGCCTCACTATCACTGATTTCCTAAAAATTACCTTTGACAGTCCTGATGTAGTACTGTTGCTGATACTGTCTGTCTTCTCTCTGTTCTCTCGTTCTTCTACTGCCTGACCTGTGGCGTGGTGTGGATTTGCTCAGGTTCCGGGGAGGTTTGGATGTTACCAGAGGTCAAACAGGCACCGAGTCAGTCTATACAAATTTCCGGGGGAAGGAGATCATGTTTCATGTGTCCACAAAGCTGCCCTTCACAGAGGGAGATTCCCAGCAGGTATCAGGAGGGGGAGTAAGGATTACAACAATGTGTCTGGGAGAGGAGGGGTATTTGAAGGACTGCATAGAAGGGACAATGGTTATAATGTTGGGAATTATGGCTGCAGTAATAGCAAAAGTAGTGATGAGGGGTTTGGTGAACAAATGGGTGTGAGATGTTGGGCAGACTGGTGTTTGAGGTCCCATCATACTGTTCTGCTCTTTTTCACCTGCCTTCTCTCTTCATTATTTCTTTCCTCTCCAGCTTCAGCGGAAGCGTCACATTGGGAATGATATTGTAGCCATCATTTTCCAGGATGAAAGCACACCTTTTGTCCCTGATATGATTGCTTCTAATTTCCTACATGCTTATGTGGTAGTTCAGCTCACTCATAGCACCACTGGGGACACTCTCTACAAGGTAAGAATCAATAGATTAACCTGTACTGATTTTGATCCTTGACATGGAAATAGGTTCTTGGGCCTTTGGGAGAGGTACAGGTTCAGCCAGATGTCATCTTAATTTCTTGAGTATCTACACCTGAAAGCTGAGTTAAGTTGTATGCTTTTCTAAGTAGCTGACTAATTTCTGAAGCTTAAAGCTTTGGAATTGAAGCAGAAAGAATTCAAATAAAAAATTTTGTTTACATCGCAGAGCATGAGCCACAATTGATTGTACTTTGAGGGTTGTCTCGCTTACATTGTCTGCACTGCCCGTGCTGCACAGTACAGTGCTTGCAGCTTGCAGTGCCGAGGCTGCAGGTCAGATAGAGTGCATTGACCTAATTATGGAATCCAAGCCAGCTACACCTGCTTTGGGGGATTCCAGAACTGATGCCCATCGGGCAGAGATGTGTTACCTGTTAGGGCTTTCCACCTGAAAGAAGCCCTGTAGAGCTCAGATTAATTATCCGTGGCTTTTGGACACAGCTCATCCTCTCTCTGACATGACTCTGTATGGATATCTGTAAAACTTTATGTTCAACTTTCAGTGATGCTGAAAGAGCAGAAAATATGAAGAAACTTGGATTTGTGATGGATTTTCAATTGTAGAAACACTTTAATCTCAGGTGCCATGTGTTGTATTATGTAGTGATTTTGATATGATGATGATGATGAGTCCTTATGCCTTGGAGGTCTACAGAACACCAAGAATATAAAATTTAGGACAGTATCCCCACCTCCTCTTCCACCAAGAGGGTTTTGGTGGTGGAGCAACCACCTTCAATTGTTCCCTATGCTTTGGGCAGCTGGTCTGGAGTGAAGGCCCTGTGTTAACCAGGCCATGGAGTTCCAGCTCTCATCCTGCTCTCTGTTTGGTAGGGCACAAAAATTCACTGGACTTTTTAATGACAAGGAAAGAGCTGGGAAAGCATGCTGTTTGTTGTGTGTCTTCCTGCCATTGTTTTAATCTTTGCCTGACTGCAGTACCATTTTTTTTTTGTTAGTGAAATAAGGCCGCTTCATTCTATGAAGAAGAAATTCATCCCAGTAATCACCCTAGAGCCAATGCAGAGTTTTCTGTAAAGGCTTTTCTAAAGGGACTTTAACTGATGCTGCCTTGAGAGCATTGTAGTACACAAAAGACTGAAAGATTTCTTTGCCATCCCTTTTACTTAAACTTTAGTGCCTCCTGTTAAATTGGAATACTAATGGAATTTATTTCACAGAATCAATTTTTACAGTCAGAAAATTGAAAATGCAAAGCAGGATTTTAACTGGTAGATATCTATCAGGAGAGAGATGGAGGCTTTGTAATTCAGGGAGGTGGCCTAAAATGTGAGAAAACTGAATTAAATCAAGAGCCCATTTCCTTCTTCCTCTCATTAAACTCACACCTCTCAATGGCTCTGTGACAATATTGTTGTTTTGAGGCAGTTGTGGTTGTTACAACGTTTTTCCCTCTTGTATGAAAGGACAAATAATGGTCTTGTTTAATCTCAAACATGACAAAAAAACCCCTGTGACATATTGAGAAGTACTGTATATATTTGGTAAGATAGTTACATATAATTATGGGTAAGAGCTGTGAAGAAACAAGTGACCATATAAAAACTGGACTGCATTACAGTTACTTCTTTAGACATTGGTATGTCAGGTAGGAGCATCCTAAAAATAAAACAAATGAAACCTATTTCTTTCTGGTAAAATGCATTTGCATGTTTACCACCTGTGACTCCCAGAGGCAGTGGCACTGAGATACTCCCCTCAGTGTGCAGCATGTCTCCACCAAGGATTCTCTGTAAAAAAAATAGGTGAGTACAGCCACACTGACTAAAGTTCTTCAGTGGAGGTTAATCTTGCAGGCTGAATAGGAGCATTTTTTTGTTCCTAAATATACTGGTTATACTAGTTATTATTTTTAAAAAGCAATCAGTTCAGCTTTTTTCATTGCTCTTACTGTGTGCACATCTAGCTGGCTGAGTTTCTGAGAGATAAATGAGCACATCCATCCACTGAGTTCAGGAACAGAGGGATGCACAGGACGCTATATTACATCTCTTTTCTATAAGTAAATTATTTAGGAGGAATCAGACCTTTCATACTAGTTTGATGGTCTCACTTGTGTTCTGATACTCATTTTTTCCCCCTTCTATTATTTCAGGTTTCAGTCACAGCCCGAGATGATGTCCCCTTCTTTGGACCACCGCTGCCAAATCCAGCCATATTTAAAAAGGTTTGTTTCTCTGGTCCAGTGTTAGTTGGCAGGGGACATGGTGCACACACTTGTGTTCTGAGTTGGTATTGTCAGTCTGGCTAGAGCACTTTGGAGGTCCGAAGAGTAGTAAGCAGAGCTTTTATAATGTGATATTTTTACTAGTGTTTTCATCTCCAGTTTAGTCTAGCCTTCATTTTGTCTTGTAGAGTGCAGAGTTTCGTGAATTCCTTCTGGTCAAGCTCATCAATGCTGAGTACAGCTGCTATCGAGCTGAGAAATTTGCTAAATTAGAGGTGGGTCTGTTATCTGGCTGCTTCAATTAAAAATAATAATTATATATATATAATAAATATATTCATGTTAGATAAAGAAAATAAAGTAAAATTTCTGACTTCTAGTTTTGTGTTGCTTAAGAAAGGAAGATGAAATGTGATTTTATACTTAGTTATGGGATATTTCCTTCATATTTCTTAGCAGGTGTGATAGAATATGAACAGGTACACTTTAGTATAAAGATCTAATCGTCAAGTAAGGATGGGAATATGATGCATATATTTTGCTGGAAGAAATTCTGTATTAGCTGAAATTCAGTATTACACTGCAGGATGCATACTGATATCACTGATTTTTGGTTTAAGGCACCAAAATTCTGTTCCAGACTGCTGTTGCCTGACCTAGAAAAAAACATGTCTCTGTTTCATCAGCTGTAAAGAAGTGTCCTTTATGACTTGCTTTAGACAAAGTTTGATGGGGCTGCGTGTTACTGCAGTATAGTCTGTAACTATGCAGTTAAAACCACTTCATACTGTTTAAAATTATTTTCATGGGGTTTTGTTGTCATTGTTGGCCTTTTGGGGTTTTTTGTTTGTTTGTTGGGGATTTTTTTAAGAAGGATGTGACACATTGAAAAAACAGGAAAAAAATATCTCCACTCCCAATAAAAAAGCTGTTCTGATTCCCAATGTTGATGCAGGAGAGAACGCGGAGTGCCCTGTTGGAGAGCCTTTTTGAGGAGCTGCAGCTTCGCAGCCGCAGCATGATGGGATTACCTGTAGGGGAGGATGACAAGATAGAGAATGGCAGTGGGGGCTTCCTCGAGAACTTCAAGGTGAGCCTTTCTACAAACCTACAGTGTGGTCTAGAGTTCCATACTGGCCCTTAGAAGCCAAAATCTCTATGCTTTGTGCTGGTGTCAAGTGTCAGATGTGGTTTTAATCCATGATTTACAGAAGAAGGAGTCAGTGTTTGCAAAAGGAATTGTAATAACTAGGAGCAAGGGGCTTTCAGTTCCTACAGCAGATTTCTTTCAATTCATTTTCATTATAACTGAAAGAATTGCAGTAGCCACTGCAAAAGTTTCTAACTTATCTCTGAGTGTACTGTCTAGAAAAACTGTGATACTTTACTTACCTTCTAAAAGCCAGAGTTAATTTAACTTTTTCAGTGTAGATGGCATGTTAGGGGGTTTTTATTGTTGATTTTTTTTAATAAACCAGGTGACAGAACTTTCTTTTAGAAGTGATAAAGGTAATTGATATGAGAATGCAAAGGTTTTGTATGAATGGGCAAACTGAGTTTTGACCAGGTTATACAGAAAGAATCTTTATTGCTTTCCTATTCTATCTTCTTGCCCTTTCCCACTTAACATGGGAAGTCCCTTGCCACTTCTTTTATATAATAAGTTATCATAACTTTATGGCTTTATATGGTGGGTCAATTAGAGTTATTAAGGTCTGTGAAACTAACCTGTTCACAAATAGGTTTGGTAGCTGGGTGTGCATAGATTTGGTCAGGTCTGGGATGCTTTGGTGAGGGCTTTTTTTTTTTTTTTTTTTTTTTTTTTACATACAAACTGCCTTTGCTGCTAACCATGAATTTTAACCCATCCATGTCTTACACTAATTCTCCCAAAATGTCCTTTTATGACTTCTGGCAGATGCTGGGATTTGCACATCATGTACACAGATGACATTTGTAAAAGGCTGGAAAAGGCTGAGTTAAGTCAGAAAATGGCTTTTTTAAATTGCTGCAGATTTTGAACGGCTGCTTTCCCATTGAAACCAGAATTCAAGCTCATATGAGACTGAACCTTACAGCCTTGAATGGGAGTTTGATTTTGTGTTTTATAGCCTGTACTGGATAGGACTGCTCCAAATGATGCTGTTTAATCCAGTGTGCTGGGATACTGGTAGGAAACCTCTATTTATTGCAATAGGAGAAGGGAAGTGAAACTAGAGAATATACTTGATGAAGAAGTCTTTCCAGAGCTCCATGAATCAGCTAGGACCAATCTAAGGTGCTGCCTTCTAGGAGTTAGGATCTGTGTGGTTCTGGTGTCAGTCTGTCACAACTTCCCACTCAATCTGTGGTGCTTCTCACACTACCCTGCTGTGTGCATGTCTATATGTGTATATCTGTGTTTGTCTGTTTCCCTGCCTCCCTCCTGTTCAGCGGGTGATCAGAGGCCGCAGCCAGAGCCTGGATACCATGGGGATATCCATGAGAAAGCAGCAGCCAGCCACCCTGCCCAGCCGCCCAGCTACAGCTGGCCTTGCCCTCAGCCAGAGTGTCGCCGAGGGCCCTAAGGCCATTGCTGCGGTAAGGTATTCGGGTGGGCTGTAAGAAGAGAACCCGGCATACCTTTGTAACCACTCATACATTTCCTTTCCCTATTAGTTTGTCCCCTTGTCCCACTGTGAATCTTTTCGATGTATCATCCCATTTCACAAGTGATGACAGCATGCGTTGCAGTCTGTTTTGTCTGTGCCCATCTCTAGCGCCAGTTCATGTAAACTAGAGCTGAGATTGATGCAGACTGGGAATGATTCTACATCAGACATCTATCTCTGATATCCTGGATTAGATCCTGCACGGTGCCGTGTGTTAAAAAATGCATGCACCGTGGTTTGGCTGGAACGGTACTGTATTGTCATATGGCAAGACCTGAGAACATAAGGACACTAGAACTGTTTCATTTTCTTCGATTTCACCAATCAGACTGTCTTCTGTAATATAAACAGGTGCACAAGATATTCAAGGTGCTGTTTTGATGTAAATAGAATTTGCATGTTGGGAACAAACAGCAGAATTAATAAAGTTTGAGGTGGGGAAAAGAATGAATATTTCTAGTCACTATCAAAGCCTTTCTTATTTGATAGGGATACTAAATATATGTGAACAATGAATTAAAAATCTATCACAAATCTTTCTAGAAAAGGAACCGTGTTTCTAATACTGAAAATATGATTACCTGGGCCAAAGTACATCCAACTGGTTGTGGTCTATGCACTGATGTCAATACAGGCAAACTACAAAAAAACCCATCTCTGAGTAAGCCAAGAAGGTGCCCTTCAGTGTGAAGATTTCTTGGTGACAGTTTACTTGGTTGTATGCATTCTTTATGTCAATACAACGAAGTCGCAGCGTACTAATGACTTGGGTTTGCTACCTCCTTTGCTCCTTTAACTTCTGGTTTTCTTTATCTTTCTGGTTTGCCTCTCCTCTCACCATATGGGGATACCTCCCTTCCCAAGCCTATGTTCTGCCTTTGTTTCTTTATAACTCTGTTCCTTTCTCACACTACCTTTATAAGCCCTGGCTGCTCTTGCTCGCTGACAGAAAGTACTCCTTGCACAGGTGGAGCTGAGCTCTTGTATTGCAGTAAAGGAGAGGATCTGGATCCATGTTGCAAACTCTTCTATGCTTTCAGCTCTCCACAGCTTTTCCTGTCTTGTTCCTCTCCTTTCTGTCATGCTTTCCTTTTTTCTAGTCTTTTGCCTTGCCTGGTAGGAGCCCATCACGTACTCGAGCCAGCCGCTTCCATGGGCGACGGAGTAGTGCCATTGGCATTGAAAACATACAGGAGGAAAAGAGGTATGAGCTGTGGGGAGACGAGACAAAGTGGGTAAAAGTGCCAAGAGGAGATGAGAAAAGGAACATAGAAAGGCACATAGAGGCAGAGGGGGAACCATCAGGAATGAGAACTAAAATGGAAATTGTTGGAATGGGAAGAAAGGGGACTGGTTATCAACTGATGGAGAAATGGACAAATAACAAAACCAGACAAAATTAAAAGAGGGCATTTGGAATTGGAGAGAAACAGTATTTGAGTAAGAATGGAGAAAATGGGTGGAGGAACATTATAAGATCACTCTTAAATATTGTGCAGTATGATCCAGGACTTGAGAGTTTCCTGTGCTTCACTCACCACTTTAGAAGCAAGTCAGATGAAAGGCTGGTATTTGGGAAGGGCCTGCTTGTTTGTTTGATTTCATGTTAAAATATTCAAATAGGCAAAGCTTCTGGTAACTTAAAGGATTTATTTTAAAAATCGTTAAGTCCAAATGACTAGTGTTTAAGTTAGATCATCTGAGAAATAATTATAATTAATGGATAATATGCTGATTCAAGGAGTGATTTGGCATATATGACAGAATTATAACCTTTCAAAAGTTGTCTACTGGTCATGAGAGATTATTTAGTTAAATTGCAAATTTCTCGCAGCTCTAGCTGAGACATCTTTTTAAGATTATACAGAGTCTCAAAAGTCACATGAATGCTCTACATCTAATATGCAGTTTTCCCAGTCGTAAGAATTCCAGGAAACAGCTTAAAGACTGGGTGCAAAAGGGGGATAGTCATCTCTAAAGTGGAAACTAGTTATTTTAGAAGGAAATTACTGCATTTTGACTTCTTTCTTAATGAGGTGCCTATGACCTAATCTGAGTATAAATAGAACTTCTTTTGAGAAAAATTAAATCTTCAGAGGCAGCTGCCCTGTAACAGTCTAAGCTATTACAGTAGCCACAGCTTCTCACTACTTTAAATACTTCAGTACCTTAGGCAGCTGTGTCCTTCAATCCATTACTTTGTGTACAACAACTGTTTCTATCCCCTTGAAGGATCTGTAAAACTTTCCTACTACAGGGAAAAACCCTGGATTTATTTTCTTTTTTTTCCCTGCTCTTTGCTTGGAGGGATCTGATGAACTAATTGGCTTATTTAGCTTTCCTTTTGCTTACTTGTAAACTTAGATGTGGGGAACTCTAGGGAGCCTTAGTCTGTATTTTCTGAAAGACTTTTTGGGTCATTCCTGAAGGTGCAGTTTCACTAGCAACTGCTTTAATAGTTCGTTGTTATTGAAAGCAGATGTGATACTTCCCCAATGTCCCTTTCATCTACCCAATCCTGATTATTCCTTGTGATGATTGCTCACATCCCTAGTGGGCTTTTCATGGAACTGATTCAGCCCATTAATCAAATAGAAAAAGTATCAGCTTTCTTTCACTGGATTAATTGTCTGCCAGGTTCTGCCATGAACTGGCTCGTGGAGAAGTCTGATGGGTACCAGGACTGGTGGAAAGTGCACTCAGCAAGAATGAAGGAGGCTGGAGTATGCTCTCTTTCTGGGAACAGTGAGCTCAAAGTGTCATGTGTGACTTCACCCTGAAGTAGTAATTTAATGTCATGCAGGCTTTGCTGACAGAGCTGACCTGGTCCATTGCACTTGTTTGTTGTCAGAGTTTCAGGATTGTTTTGATTTTAGAGTTACTTTTTGTCAGGGTAATTTCCAGTCTCACAAACAATCATATTAGCATAAGTGAGGGTGTCAGACATTGTGATGTGATGGGCACAGGTAGGGTCAACTGATCACGAGAGCTGAGGAAGAACTTTGTGACAAACTCCATCACTGAAGCCCTAAGAAATCCCACAAAATCCCTTAGTTGTCCTTTCTTTAATTAAATATGCCTCTCATTTCAGTTACTCACACAGACAACCTTCTTCAGAGGTATCTTGACAAGTCCTAGTAGCAATAACACTTTTGTAACCATCATATTTACTCTCTCTATTAAATCCTATAGCTTCCTAAGACCAGTGGAATGGGGAGGATAGAGGAAAAAGTAAAAAAAAATTAAAGGTGAATACTGAAATTCATTCAGGCCTTTATATCAATTCAAAAGCAGCTTAAAGTTGGCCAATTCCAGATGTCACATGTCACATTTTCAACACAACTGTGTTTGCTTCCCTTTTACATGTATACAGGAGATACAGCTTTCTACTGTGTCTTGTAAAGGCACAGTAGTTAGACTAGATGGTAGTTAACTCTGGCCCTGGGGTATAGCTGGTTTCTTTTTTCTCCCAGCAGAGACACCACAGAGAGGATACAAAGGGTGTTGGACAGTCCAGGAACTTTCTTTGACCTGAAGTCTGATGGATCATCCAGTCCCAGCTCTCCAGAGTTCCCCAGCAGGAAGAGCAAGTGAGTTGAAAATAAATTTTAGTATTTGAAAGATGCTCACTGTCTCTCGTATTGGCTTAAGTGTGGTGCATGTCTTGCTCTGTTGGAGGCTTTATTGAAATTGTCCACATCAGGCATTGTAGCATCTCAAAAGTTGGATGTCTGGCTGTGGCACAGTAATTCAGAGCCTGTCAGGAACTTGGCTTTCTTAAACAGATCGTGATGAAAGATCGGAGCACTTGATTTTGGTTATATCTCTACTGTAATGTGAGCTTGAATCCAACAGGATACACAAAATCCTAGCTGTCCAATTATCCATGTTTACTCATGTGTATGTTTCCTCTGTAGTTTGCTCTGGAGTGATTTTGGAGCTTCATGGAGAAGCTTGGACAAGGGTATGTTGGGATGTTGGGTTGTACTCAAGTTCTGCCCCTTTAAGCAGGATTCATGCCGCTGCTCCCAACCAGCGTGAACTAACCTGTTTCCAGTCTCCCCAAAGTGTTACAGCAGGATTCCAGCACGGTCCCATGTGTTGCACCTATGTTTCATTGCTAAAGCACGCCATACCACACCCAGTGGTATGTGCAAAACACTTCATGCAGTAGTCTGCAAGTTAATTCTCCAGTTTCTGGTTGTCAAAAACTGGAAAAATGCAATTTCCTGGTAGTGGAGCTTTGCTGCTTCTAAGCTGTATTGTACTGGGATGTGATCCTACCTAGAGCACTTCAGGGACCACCCATTTACATTTCCAAGACCCCAGAACAGCCTGTTTTTAAATTAAAGGCTGCAGCTGACTTTCTGGAACATTTTGCCACACCTAACTTTTTTCAAGAGAACTTGGATGAGACCTGTGGCAAGAAAGGTAGCAAGTACTTTATATTAGGGCATTTCCCTTCCTCAGAACTGTGGAGACTCTTAAAGAAATTTCAGGAGGTGCCCTATGGTTATAGTTGCTTCAGGTACTAAATTTGACAAGGAAGGGCTGCTCTTCCAACTACATCCAATGCTCCCTAAGAACTACAAGCTGGTGACTATCTGCAATAGTTCAGCTATGTCATTGTATGCTGTAGGACTGCTCAGAATTTTGTCACAGCCAAGGTGCAGTGTTCTAGTTTTTATGTATGTATTAGTTTTTGGATTGGATGAGTGCCCAGAATTTTGGTGTGGAAGAGAATGGGAGCACATCTAGGAGATACAGACCATTTAAGGTGCTAGCTCTGGCAGCTAAGGACTAGAGGGAATGCAGGACATGGAACTGCTGATTAGTCGGCGCCCCCCCATCTTCCAGCATTACCACATCATTCCACCTTCCCTTCCTCATCCTGCCTGGGGCCTTGTTAGTGAACTAGAAGTTCCTGACAGGCATGTGTGAGGGACTCTTTCTCTGATTAGATACCTGATTACCTTGCATAATCACCAAGAATTCTGCTTCCCCCACTTCCCAACCCCCATTCTCCATCAGCTGAGGAGGTGAGCCAGGTGCAATGGCTATTTCAAGTTGGTATCCACATGCTTTCAGAGAGCAAACGTAGCATGGGAGTTTACTAACAATACTTGCATGAATATTGTTTATGCACATTAGGCATGACCTGTGTGATTTGTCAGTCTGTCTAGTTCTGTTCCCAGGATTCTTTTTCCAGTTATGGACTCAAAACCACTTAGGATCATCAGAATAAAAGAAGTATTTTCATATCTGTGGTGGTTAAGCCCATTCCTGGACAGTTCATTTACAAGGTGGGATGCAGCATGGAGTTTTTGCACAATTGGTGATTAGTCAGAGTTATGATCTCAGAGTTAGGGACTAGCCCATGTGCAGCCATACTTTTTGCATGACATCGGGGAGAGGGAATTAAGAACATGTAACTCCACCATGTGAAGCACACCATTTTCAGCAAGACAGTATTAGCACAACATTGCAGGAGAAGGCTGGGAGTGTACAGTCTGTCTTGGAGACAGTTTACTGGCATTCTGCTAAAATAGCCTACCTGTTGTTTATCAGCTGTGAAACCAGGATCAAGATGTAGGCATACTTCTGATGCAAAAGAGTTCTGCCTCATTCTAGAATAATTTAAGTAGTCCCTATAAAATAATAGAATGGGCTGTCCCTGGTCGTATGTCATCAGTCCACTCCTGGTTCTCTCCATAGAGTCACAAGAAATTTCTGTTACCTCAGAAATGTCCAGCATGATGCTACTGGTCTTACATAATCATTTCAGATTCAAAACTTGGAATGATTGCCCTCTTCACCTGTGTTCTACTAAAAGAAACTTGGAAATAAATGCAAAGGGTACACATAAGTAATAGATTAATTATTTACAGTAGAGGTAAAGCAACATGCTGCTGAGTTTAACAGACATTTATACAGTGATCAGCCAGCAATCCATGAAACTGCATTTGTTCACTTGAGCTAACGGTGTCTTCTCTCCCACATACAGGGACAATTGTCCTTAGTTTTTCTGCTTTACTGTTCAGGTAGCCTTCCATGTAATCCTTCTTCTCAAGGGACAGACTCAAAAGAATGAACCCAGCCTATGTAACCAAGTAGTAGAGCTCCTGAGGATCACACAACTCTCTGGGTTGCATCTGAAAAATCAAGCACTGTACTGTGTATGTCCATATGCTAGGAAAAGTACATGGGTTTTTTGTATGTGTGTTTTCCCTCCTCAGACACATCTGAGTGGGGACATCAAGCCAATCAGGAGTGGACCGGATGCTACTCAGTCATTGGGTACCTCACTGAAGACACTGGCAAGACTTTTGGGGTGAAATCAGAGTCCTGGCTAAGAGGAGCATGAACGTACTTAGAGGACCCCAAGGACTGTGGAGAGACCGAGTGGCACCAAGTAACGCTCCACTGGCAGATCCTGGAGCAGAAATTCTGTGAGAGGGAGATGGACAGATAGCTCCTGTTGGAGCATTTTGGCTCTGTGCTCTTTCTATTGCCAAATCAGCAGCCACTGAACCAACCTCTACTAGTGATGGGGAACGGAGGCCACCTTGGGTGCAACCCCTTCTCTTCCCTTCCTCTCCTCTCAGATGAGTGAGAATAGTTTGGCCTGCAGAAGGCAAGAGCAGAAGGACACAACTCCACCTCTGTCTCTAGTGCCTTGACACAGGTCAAGAAATGCAGTGCAGAGAACAAGGATGGAGACACCTGCTGAGGAAGGGTGCTGAGAAGGAGATACTTTGTGGAAATCTAGATCCCACTTCACTTAGATTCATGTTATTGATTTGCTCTGCTAAGGGAGAAGCATGTTGGCCTTCATTTCCTCCAAAATATATTTCCTAATCTCTTGAGGAAATATCTTTGGCCTTTATTGGCCCTGTCTTTACTGTTCTCCTTGTTGCATGCTGGCATGTAATATGCCTGGGACTTTAGGTTTCACAACTGCTTGTAGGTCAAGACTGGCCACATTTTGCAGTGTTTCTGAAGGAATAAATATATTTAGTATGTTAAAGGTGTCTTATCTTTCTTGCCTCTCCTAACTTTTTTTTTGTTCCTTAACATTTTTAAGCACTTAATCGCTCTCTTACTAGCTTGCTTCTTACGCAGACAATGAGTATTTCACCATAAATTTGGTACTTAAATGCACAGTGCACCTTCTACTATTTAAGTGTGTCAGCCTCATGGCCTGGTATATCTCCTAAATGACTCTAAACAGTGGATCCCAAATTCTCAGCTGGGAAGAGCTGACCTTATGGATCTTCTTTGATAGATCTGAAACATGCACCAGGCTACCTCAATGACTGTTCCATTTGATGGAGTGGTGGTAAAGGGATCCAATACAGTTTGCTTTGAATATCCCCTTTGAATGGCCTTGGGAGCTAAATTTTAGTGGGACAGACCTACAGGAGTCAGTCTATTGGCAACTGGGCACATGGAAAATCACCAGGGTGGGAATCCTGACCTAGGTGTTTTCCTGTCTGTAAGCAGGAGGAAGGCTCTAACTGGTCTGTGCAAGAGCTTGGCACTTGATCCTACATAGTTTTACACTGAGACATCCTGCAATAATGCAGATCTCAGTAATGTGTTTCTACCTCCCCACTGCATCCTTAAACTTTTTTAGTTAACTGTTCTGTAATACTGGTTAATGTGTATCTGCTTTCCTGCTTCCTCCTGTTACACCTGTACAGAAAACAGCAGTAACAATTTATAAGCTCTGTGACATGAAAAGCATGCTTTTTATGGTCCCTTTGTTCTGCCTGGAATTTCAGATAAGACAAAACAAGATAGCCTGAGAGTGGCTGTGGGAATGGGTGGCCTAGACTGGACTGCACCTGCCCTTCATAATCAGTTTAACATCTCTTCATTCTGTATTTAGGCTCTTAATATCCCACAGTAGGGCATCTGTTGATTTTAATGAATGTCTAGATGTATTTTATATTTAAATGCAGGTGCTTTGAGTCACTCTGCTTTATTACACTTAGGTCTGTGACTTAAAAGTTCATTCAGACTTGTCCTTTCATATAGTTATCCAGAATGGAGACAGAGAATTGGTGTTTCTCCTAAATGATGTAGCAACTAGAAATTAAGGTATGCATGCCAATTCACCTGAATTCTGTTTCTAGGTGGAAAAACTAGCTGTGGATGAATAATATATTCTTATTGTTTCTGACTGCTACATAATAAAGCTACTCCTCAAAAAGTTAAGCCTGTGTGTAACAATAAGCATGATGATGTTGAATGCTTGCATTTCACAGAATGCTCAGGAGTCAGACTTCAGGATACTGTGTGATACAGCCACTCTCACGTTCATCATCCAGTGTAAGCAGTTGTTGTAGTGGATTGAGGGAAAATGGAACATCAGAGGAAGAGGAGAATGACAGGGTGGGTGTATGATCTCTAACAAACAGAGGCTACCCTCCCTGATTTTACCAGGTGCATTATTAAAACACATCTTCTTTGCCCTCTCCAGGAGCTGACGTGCTCACTTAAGGGCCCTCCAAAACAGGATTCAATGATTCAGAGTATGTGGCTGGATGACAGTGACTGCACACCCAGTACTTCTAGCTCACCAGGTAAAAAAGAAAGAAAAATAGAAAAAACCCTCTACTTATGCTTTTAGAAGCATATGAGAGGTTGAGCCAAATCTTTTATATGCTGTACTTAGTATTTTAGTAGCACAGGTAGATGACAGCTCAGGAAAATGGGGAGAAAATCTGCCATGCAATGTTCAATTGGGAAAGAATAGTGCTCTACATACTGCAAAAGGAGTTACAGTAGACTGCAAAGAATGAAAGTGTTCATATGTTTTCTGTGGAGAGCTGTGGTTGCATTTCTGAATGCAGCACCCATATAAACTAGATTGGATATGGGATTATAGGAACTGCTTCCTGAACCAAGCAGTATGCTCCTGAGAAGGTGGATAATCAGGAAGCTAACCTGCACCAAGAGTTTTTTGCCGAGGTTGGGCTCGTAGTCTAGTACTTGATTAAAGCTGACGTAGTTGCTTAACATCAACTTGGATCCATTCACAGTGCAGAGGTGATTATAGTCCTTAGAAGTTCTCTTCAGTCCTGCAGCAGGGACACCCATTGCATTTCCTGCTGTGGAGCTGGATCACCTGCCTGATCTCAGACCCTGTTTGCAGTTGTGTTTCACTTTGTTAAAATGAACTGGTTTGGATTGAAGCATTTCTTGTTGAGCATCAGCCTTAAGCTAAAATTAGGGAAAGTTTAAATCCATTTCAGTCTGTTTCTGAGAATGAAGCTGTGTAAGATTTTGGGAAAGTATGATTGAAAAGACTAAACTTCTGAATTTGGGAAGTCATTAGAAACTGTGAAAGGCAAAACATTTAGCATTTATTGCTGGAAGACTGGAATAGGAGCATGTTGAGATGGTAAGAGATACTACGGATTATGTGTATGGCAAAGAAAAGAGTTGGTTGGAATGAACTGTGAAATCTTTATAGGAATTGTGTGAAAAAGGATTCTTTGTAAAGATTACAAGGGTCAGAAAGTGGAGACAACTTGGAGAATTGAGTTAGGTCTCATTCTCCACTGCTGCTGTATATGAGATATCAAGAGTGGCTGTCAGATAGATCCCTGCATAAAATTGTCTGTATCTTAGCAACATCACTGAAGATGTGATATTGTCAGATATTCTGCAGAGATTGCTGTTCTGTCAGATAGTCCTCTTTTGTTGTGGATGCTGGAGGCAGGGATGCTTTCCATTAGCTTCTGCTGCTCTTCACAGATAGTTTCTCTGTCTGCTGACTCTTTATTGTCTTACAGTGTATAAATCATTAATATGCATCACTGAGAATAATCATTACAGAGAATGCAGTGTAAAGTTCAACATAATTTTTAGATTTTACAGCCCTGGGGACAGAGAGCATTATCCTGGTGGTTTAGTTTTGCCCTTTATTGAGTTATCCAGTAAGTAGTCAGCCACAGTTAATGCACTGTGTAAAATCAAACCAAACTAATTTTTTTTTTTTTTAATGGAGAAACCTAAGACAATTCCACTGTGAGTCTAGATCCTATGCTGAATAAATCCAGCATTCCTAACCCATGTACACATTCTTGGCTTCTCCAATTTGCCTTTCAGATTGAGAGAGCAAAGTTACAGGAAAAAAAAATGTCAGCAGTCTGTGGTCATTATGCTCCCAGATCATGACATAGAGAACTGCCTTTGCCAAAATATTTTCTGAGTTGGCTTTAAAGCAACAACATGTCTCATGTGACAGTGCATGTCACATGAGGCAGAAGTGACTTTCTCCCTAGCCTCAAGGGCAAGATAAAAATTCAGCTATAACTCTCCTTAACACCTAGACACTACCAGTTGTGTTAGATATGTTTTTATTTAGGTACTTGGCCTATTAGGCCTATTAGGCCGCTTCCTACCATAAACATACATCATAATTAAATTTCAGCATAGTGGAACTGGGATATATACAAAATAGAGAAGAACCCTCATATTGTAAATTCATGATGTTTAGAACCACAGTTTAGCAGCACTTGGCAGTGATTCACCAGTTTTGCTTTTAAATCTCAATTTTAAATTACATAATTACACTGGGAAAGGGGATCATCTGCCTTGGAAAAAATGCTGAAAAAATAGTTGCATCTTATCTGTTTCCTAGAAAATACTGGTGTGATCACATATAAGTAAAAAAAAAAAACAAACAAAAACTAAAAAGAAAGAAGTATTCCTGGGAAAAGCATCTTAGCTTACCATCTTACTGCAGGAATCCCTTATTAGTTTTCTTCACTTTCCTGATTGAATGGTGATTAGATACGCCATCAGAGGTATTCACCTGCCCATTATACCCCTTAGCACATTCCACACTAATATCAAGTCTTTAATTCAAACTCTTCCCATTTTTCCTCTGATTTAAATAAAAGATTTAACATTTTATAATACAGATTTATTTTGTGATGCAGCTATGCATAAGCTTCCACAGACTGTACTGGTTGGAAATTACCATATTTAGCAATTTTAACCATAGAATGGATAGAATGGAGGATCATCCAAGAGTAATGTAGAATAGTTTAGGAAGACTGTTATGTTAAAGACATCTTACTCATTTTTTGAGAAATGTGTATGGTGAATATAAGATGATTACAGAAAGCAAAAGAATGCTCTTAATTGTGAATTTTACAAGCATTTAGTCCCTAGTTTTGCCATGATGTTGATATGTGATGAGAGGCAAATTCCTGAAACCCTGAGGTCAGATGTGGGAATCTCAAGGGAGGGGTCAGAGGGAGAAGGAAGAGAAACTTTGTGAGAGCATAAGATTAGAGTCTGCTTCACAAGTGTGTATCCTTGGGAATAAGGCATTCAGATTGTCTGGAACCAGTGGCTGATGACTATTTTTTTAATGAAACGAAAGCAGTCACTTTCGTCATGTTTCGAGCTGGAATAAGAAACAGGTGAAGGTAACACTAGGCAATTTGGGCATAGGTACATTCCTTTCACTCTTACCTGTGGATGGGCCACAGATATGTGAAAACTTTGGGATAAAACCAGCTATGTGTGCAGCTCCTGGGACACCCTCTTGATTATTTTTGTATTGTTCTGTGCTTGGTTCCCTTCTAGGAAGCAGGTTGCTTCCTTCCAGCAGTGTTGCTGGCTCCACTGGAAAAGGAAAAGGCAGCAAAGCAGAGGCTCAGCACCATAATCCAGTAAGTGCTTTAATAAAATGTTTCCTTCTCGCTTGCACAGAGATAAGGATGGGAGAAAAGAGAGAGGCTTGATGTAGGAGGTGTTGCTTGCTGAGGGTCGAAAGGACAGTAGGGCAGGAGGAAGGCGCTTGCAGGGGAGGTTAAAGCGGTGCCTTGTTCTGCAGGCCTCCATTTTGTGCTGTGTGTGATGTCGGCGCTGGAGCACTGCCTGCTGCACGCAGGGTGAGCAGCACAGGTAATGCACATGGGGGGAGGAGAGCCACGGACCCCTGGCCACTCCTGCCTCACTGACACAGTGCAGCAAGTGCTGTACAGCTTCTCAGGAAACAGAGTTAGTCCTTCACCTTCCTCCCCAAGTCATCTTCCATGGCCAGCAGCTCTGGCCTGCCTGATTTACCTAAGCACTCCCTTTCTTGGCTGCCTCCTCCCTCTCAGGGAACAGCATTTCCCACTGAGATTCTGTTCTCTGCCCTAGTCTAGGCACACTTTCTTTCTCTTGTCTTTCATTGTTCAGTTTCCTTCGTTCAGATACAACCTACCTTTCTGTGTGCCCTACCTCTGCTTTTTATAATAGTTTCATTACTTTACAGAACCCCTTTTTGTTGCTCATTTTCTGACATTGTGCCTATCTGTACACTTGCTTATTTGCTTTCAGCCTAGAATTGGTGGGACCTACTTGTCCACGCCAGTTTCACAGCTTTTCCAGATATGGGAAGTGGGACTTGATTTCCTGGTGAGGTCTGTAATAGAGCAAATGGAAACACAACTTTAGGATTGTTCTCTTGACAGTTTGCCTGTGTTGTTGAGAGTCTTTTTGCTCAATGTCCCTTTCCTTGCCCAGTATCTTCTGTGGCCTGACAGCTGAACAGCTGCCTTGAAGGTGGTGGGGATGTGAGGCTCTTAGGAACTCGATTGAGTAGCTGAGTAGAAGAGGTGTCATCTTTATGGAAGAAAATTCTTCCAGCTATTCCTAAATATTCCTAAATAGCTGGTAGTTCTTATTGTTGCAGTTCAAATCCTCAGTGCTCAAGTTTTAGCTGCCCTGCCACCTTGTGGCATTCAGAGCAGCCAGGTGAACAGTTCAGCTCCATGTGGTGGTGGCCACTGGTGCCACAGCAGATCAGAGAAGGGAGCTGGCACTCACTGGAAGCAGCTGAGGCTGCTTCAGTGTGTGCTACAGCAGAGATCAGAACTGAGCATGACAGTGCAGCTGCCAGCCACTGTTTACTGGGGTCATCCCCAGAGTGTTTGCCAAGAGCTTGTACTCACAGTATGGCTCTGTAACACAGGAGCAAGGCTGTCTAAATGATGGACAGAGCTCCTTCAAAGTTCTGCTCCCAAACAGGCAGATTTTGCTCAAAATAGGTACAGAGTTAGAATTGCAACAATCTGCAAACTCACTGATGCAAAGGCTGTGGTTTTGCATTTACTGGTAGGTATTACTGGCAATTAGTAATGTATCTCAGTAGTACTTAGGTATAATTTCAGTACCTAATGTATTGAGCATTTAATTTCCACTGGTTTGAAGTAGGTCAAAGAGCATTATTTAAGATAATGTAATGAAATATATTGCAGTTTGTAGGATCCATGTCTTTTGGTCTGTCTGCCAAATCAGCAACATTCTGCCACAAAGGTTGGTTATTTTTCAGTTGATCTGGTTCTAAGAACAAAGTTTCATGAGACCCTGCTTTTCACTGTGAGATTATTTCCAGATGTTCTTTGAACTCTCACCAGCTCCTTACCAGAGTTCATTATTTCCATAAAAGGGCATTTTACCCACTCCTGAGACAGCACTACTGGCTTAAAGTGGTGCTTTAGTCATTCCATTTTATCACAACCTCTGAATCAGTTTGATAGCACAGATTGGAGACTAGCAAGTTTCAGGGGAGAAATAGTAAAAAAATTTCTGTAACATGGCTGCAAGGGACACAAAGAAACCTATGGCACACACATCCATGGTAACCTCCTTGTCATTCTAACTCCTCTTATCTCTCACAAAGATTTCCTTCAGTTCCAGGCTGGATTTGCCCAAAGACTAATGGGTGCACTGGTAAAAAGGAGAAAGGACTCCTCCAATTCTAGGGTATTTCCCGAAGAGCTGAAAGAAATAGAAATTGTGGATGGGGGAACACATGATACTCCCACAACACTTAGAGCTGTAAGACCATGAAGGATGCAGACTTCTTCTGATGCTTTGTTCTAGGATTTGCTGTTCAAGTGAAAATACATGAATATACTTTACCTTAAAAAGACAAAAAAGGGAATTCCAGTTGCTGCTTTTTCATTCAGTGATGCGTCAGAGTGTGTGGAATCATAGAGAAATCAAACTTTATATAAATGAAAATTCTTTGTGTCATTCTAATTCAGCCAATACAGGGTTGAACTCAAACTGTTTCCATGTGAAGTTTCTTATTTTAATTGTTTGCATACCTTTCCCTCTGCAGACTACATGATTGGAAGTCCCTCACAGCCATATCCAAATCACCTTTGGATAGGCAGAAATTAGGGCATCCTTGAGGAAGCAAAACAGAGTCTACTTCAGTTACCAGCTGAACCTACAGTGGTGTTCACAACTGTTCTCCAAAGATTTTCCTGTAAAACTTGCATTAGTTAAAAATCCCTGCAAGGTTTGGGGTTGGTGCCCACGAATGCACATGTGTGGTGGTTTCCTCAGATACCAGTGACTGCAGAGCAAGGTCCATCAAATATTGTCCAGGATGGGGACAATTCCTTTTAAAATACTTGATTGGTTCCCTAGATTCTTCTTTGGGCTATTATTTTGTGTCCTTCCCAGCTGCCGTGATGCAAAGTAAAAGGAAGCATTAATATCTTAGCCTGTGCTTCTTATGTCTATGTAGTACACTGGACTTAAAATAAAAGGAGAATATGGCCAGATTCTCTTAGGTTTTGTGTGTGTGTTTATAACGGACAAGTAGGAAGACGTGAGAAACCCAAAGATTGCAGTCCCGTAACTACATAATCCTCATGTTTTTAGGGTAAAGGAAAGAAAACCAACCAGGGAAGAAGAATGTTCGCTCTGCAAGAAGTTAAATCTTTAATGTTAATCGTTGATCTGTTGAAAGAAAGGAAGCACATTTGTATTGGTAAACACTTCACCAGGCTGGTAATACTGGCAAACCTTGATATTTTTCAAAATTAGAGATGAGACCAAGCAGTAAAGTTAAGGATGAGAAAGCCATCTCTCCATAAAATTGAATACATTCAGATAATCACTGAAGATTGACATATATATTTTCCTTCCTATATATTTCCCCAGGACTTTTCACAGCTTGGGGCTTGGAACTGGTCCCAGCCATTTTTCACCTGCAAGACAAACCAGCACAAAAGAGATATGTTAAAATTTAATCCATACAAGTAATTGGCCAGTCATTTTTCTGCAGCAGAATTGCTGTTCCTACTCTTGTGAAGGGTAACTGCTGGTGATGGAATACAGATTTATATCTTGTTTGGTGTGCAACAGTCAGCTCCATAAATATTTCACTGTCTAGTCACAACTGAAACTGTACAGAAGAATTATTTTCTTCCATTACAGATGAGACATCTGCAGGTCAGGGGTATTCCACATGACAGAGAAATCAGTTCTCTTTAGGACCTGTTGGGGGAGGGGGTGGGGCTGGGGTTTAAAAAAGGCAAGAAAAGGGTGCAAGGCTGCAGAGTCAGAGAATCAAAAAGAAAATCAAAATACTAAGTCCTTGGAGTTGAGTCTAGAAACCAGGCCACAACATTCCAGTCAGTATTAGTGACTGCTGTAGTGGGTGTTGAGTACTCTTCTTCCTCACTCTCATGTTCATCAAGAATATTTTATAGAATCAGAAACTCATCCAGAAGACTAAAAAAACCGAAAAACTCAAAAAATTTCCCTTCTTCTTAAGCCTATGACTAATACTAATATGCATTAATACTTTCTGCTGAGTGTTTTCCACAAATGCAGGAGCTAATTATGTGAATAACTCTTTCTAGAGACACTCTCTCAAAGTGCCAAATCTTGGGATGCCCTCTAATTCATAAAAACAGGTGACTTTAGTTTTATTATTTATCACAACTACTTAAATCCCTTAATGAATTTAAAGTGTATATTCTGTTAATAGAAAAATGAAAAGAAGGATGGTCAATATATGAACAACTTTTAAACAGCTGTGTAGGTAGACACAAGTTATGGATTGGGGAGCTGTAATAAAAGCTTAGTAAAAGCTGTGCTTTTACTAAGAAGGAACAGATATAAAAGGAAAATGTTAGAATGACAAAAAAAAAGAAAATAGAAAAAAGCATTACCAGCCATAGTCATAATCTTAGCAAAGGCCTACTGTCCAGTACCAAAAGATTACATATGAATATTTTGAGAACTAAAGAGTTTCAGTAGTATTTTGAGAATGGCACATGGAACACAAAGCCTTGAAACATACCACAAGACGATGGAGTACTCAAGTTACTTCTGGTTTGGAAAAGGATCATTTGGTCATTTTAAGTGTACTGAGACAGATTTCAGTCAGCAGTTTCATTCCAGGAGAAGGATAACCAACATTATTTAACATTTGAAAGCCCTGAAGAGTGTTTTACTCAGCTGCATTACATATTTTGTTCCAAGAGGGTGAAAGCATGAAACCAAAGGGATGTAATGAGGCAGACTCACCTATAATGCTGCCTAGCAGCTCTAAACGATCAGAGCCAAAAAACAGATGAGGTTCCCCATCATAATGTGCCACAACAGCAGGCATCCCAAATGCCTATTGACAACATGGAGATGAAACAGAGATTGTTATAATGGGAGAATTTCTTGCAGTCGTATTACCAGTCTTCAGGAATAAATCCAAAGAATTTTTACTTTTTTTTCCTCCCCTTCTTTTTACCTTCGTTCTTAAAGATAAAAGCCATCTGAGAGTAGGTGACTCTCCAGAACCTGCGTGCCCCTTTTGAAGGAGCATAAAAACAACCTGATTAATCCACAGTTCTATTTCAAGTAGCAATAAATACTGTCTCTCAGTACTTTTCCTGTCCTTGCTGTCCAGCTGGAATGAGTAGGTCAACCTTATTTTCCCAGATGACAGTGAGATAAACTACCAACAACAGTGAGGTGGATTTCACACACTGGGAAACAAGGTGTCTATATAGTGCTTTCTAATCATCACCCTCATTTTTCCCTGCTTCCCTGTATTCCTAAGAGGGAAGGAATGCACAGCTGTGAAGCCCAGTGCCACTGGAAGCATCTCACCCCATATTTCAGCACTTCAGCTGTTGTGTCTTTCAGTCGGTCCTTCACTGTAGGGGATGAAATCATTTCAAGTGCCTTCTGGGAGAGCTCTGCTGAGAGCCCAGCCTGTTGGGCAACCTGTGGAAAGATGATATATTTAAGAATACTCTAAAAGTAAACATTCTAATTCCTACCTCAGTCTAATCAATTTAATCGTCAAGATTATCACCTAAAGTCTATTGACGAAAAATTTCAAAATACTCTTGAAGCACTTGCACAACTGTCTTGCCGTATTCCCAACCTATTCATCATTTAATAACTCTCAGATACAAAGTAGAAGAGACATTTTAAATCTTCCAAGCCCCAAATCTGTACTTTTTTCCCCCAGGAGTTCCTAAACTGAAGAAAAAAAAAAAAAAAAAAAAAGAAAGAACTTTCGATATAATGACTCATCAGATAACTTACAAAAAACCTCAAACTGGTATTATGAAAAGTAAAATCTCACTGTACAAGCCTACCAAAACAGAAACAGTTTGTGTGACAAACATGACATCTGTAAGTGACACAGCAGGAAAGACACTGAATCACAGAGGTGAAACAGTGGCTGGTGTTAAATGTCCAATGTTTATCTGGCAACAATGACTTACAAGTATTCTTTGAAAAAAGTATTTCACACAAAAAAAAAAAAAAAAAAAAAAAAAGAAATGCAATATTGCATGGGCAATGAAACCTGCACATGCAATGTGTTAACACACACATGTGTTAATTACTCTTTCAATTACTTTTTTTGTTTAGCACCCACATTTTCATGGGAAACGAGGAGCTCTTTTGGATTGTGCTTGAACAGGAAGTTAAACAAGTGTACCACTGGACTAGAACAAACTGCTTGGTATCCGCAGTGCTTAGACTGCAACATTTACACAGTGACATAGTATCTGGTCCTCACCATTTCAGGACAGAAAGAGGATTTAAGTGGACTGGGGCAGAATTCAGATCACACATTGCTGATATAACAATTTATGTGAAGCTGCTTTTGATTAAATAAAGAAGAGAATACTAAGGAATTACTATCAAGTTTAAAAAGCAATTTTTAAACATTCTCTGACTGATGTGTAAAATAAATCCACCTCTAAAGAATCAGATGATTGGCTGGGACCTTTCAGCCACCTTTGGATGACAAATTTCCAGAAAAGTCTAGTACTTGTTGCTGGAGTGAATGAAGACAGACACAAGCAGACAAGGGGACACCTCCCTCTCTGCATTGATAAACGGGGGATACTCGACTGCTAAACTGTGACTAAATTAGAGATTGTTCTGAGTATTGTGGTGCTGAACTTCTGCATGTCCTTGCTTTATTTGAATGAGGGATTCAGAGACTATGTGACAACGTTCTGTATATATTTGTGTACAGGGTCTAGCTAAAATTGAGTTACTTTGCTTCACAGCAGCTCCTGTGGTTTTGTGTTTCAGATCTGTGACCAAAACAATGCTGATAACATCCTCATTATTTTAGCTATTGATGAATGGTGTTTGCACAGTGTTGAGGCACTCTCTAGTTCTCACTCTCCCCCCACAGTGAATAAACTGGGGCTTCACCAGAGGCTGGGAGATGATCTGAACTAACCCAAGAGACAGACCATGCAATATGCCATGCTCATCAGTATTTAATAAAGAGGGGGTTTAGGCACGTTAACCTTTTTCTTGGGAACTGGCTGAGCATCAGTCTACGTGTAGGTGGTTCTTTGTTTTCTTTCACTCTGCTTCCACTTCTCTTTTGCTTATTACATAATTTTGTCTCAACCCACAAGTTTTCTGGCTTTTATTCTTCTTTTCTCCTTCCCCTGTCCTCCTGGGCAGTGGGAGGAAGCAAGTGAGCACCTATGTGGTGCTTGGCTGCCTGCCAGGGTAAAAGTACCACATTAATTACATCTTTAGCTATAAAGATAATTAAGTAATTAAATTATATATTTAAATAAAGTATAACTTTAAATATACTTTCAAATCTTGCTTCTTAAAAAGGTGAAGTGCAAACCTTTACTGAAATTTTGGTAAAAAAGCTACACTAAGATGAAGCTGAAGAGCAAGGACTAGACTTGGGGGGAACAGTAAGACTGCAAGCTTCATATTTCAACTAGGTATGTTGGATAGGAGAGACTAGTCATGAACAACTCCTCTCTTTTCTTCATATTCCAGGAACTTATAAAATAATGAAGAAATTAGAGATTTAAGAGGATCTACTGGTATACTAACTTAGATGCCATTACAGCTTTTACTGTAATAAACAAAATTGAAACAGCAAAAGGAAATAAATAAAGAGTATAATTTCCAGGTATATAAAAGGTGAATATGTCATTAAGCTTAATAGAAAACCTGACTGCATCACTCTAAGGAGAGTCACCTTCCCCAAGTGTTGCATTACACCTGAATATTTCATATAGCAGCAATGCCTCAATGCATTCTGTAGAAACTATTTATACTTTCATGATGTACCTGTTGATACTGTTAATGAAACAGTATCAACAGGTAACTCATTGTCCAGCCTGGGTATCTTGTCACATGAATTAACAAAAAAAAAAAAAAAAAGTGTATTCTGGTTCTGAGTGTTACGTAAAACATAACAAGAAAAAAAAAAAATTCAAACACAGTTGCAAGGGAATTTAAATCCATTTTTTTTTCAAAGTAATCAATAAGAATATCTATCAGAAATACAGAAGCACCAAGAAAAAAGGAGACACTTACAGCCAATATGCTCTCTGGCTGACTGATGTCTTCATGCTGGTAAAAGAATAAAATAAGTAATTAAGAATTACTTATTTAAGAATACTGAAACAAAAGCTCAGGTCTGGATTTAAAAGCAAGTTTTCTAAGAAAACAAAAATAAGCCCATTACTAGTTGCTGGAGAAATTACCTCAGAAAAGGTCTTAAGTCACCTAATCTGGGAATGTATTAAAATGTTTTCTGATATGAACCACTGATCCATTGCTCCAGCCTCTTGGACCCACCATATATTCCTAAAAGAAGGCAAATTAAGCCAATTATAAGCTTGTAAGGAAGGCTTCTGAACCACTGTGACCTTAACTTACTGCTATGACTTTTCATTAAAAGACATTTTCTTCCTTTTGTTGGAATTCCACATTTGAATTATGTGGGACAGGAAGGGTGACAGAAAGGGTCAAGAAGTTGGCTGCATAAAATACTGACCTGTGACCAAAAGCGGATCCAGAACTCCCTAGATAAGGGTTCCAGGTACTGTGGGTTTGTCATGTCAATGGCTGTGATAAAGCGCATGGCCGTCAGACTGCCTGCATTAGTGGGGAGACAGAGGAACACTCAGACAAGGCACAGCATCGGGAGCAGGTGTGGTCTGCATGACTGCTAAGAACAGTGTGATCTCCCCTGTAACAATCCTGAGAAACCCACAGTCTGTGCAGTAAAGCTCATGGTGACCCACAGTTATCTCCCATGCTAGTATCATTCACAGCCATATTTCTCCAGGAATTTCTCTCGTGGCTACGAATGCACAGACTTCATGCTGCTCACAGGTTCAGGAAAAGGCTGCACACAGGGAATTCACCTTTACTGGTAGGGAGAACTGGAACCAGAAGTGCTAGGGATGAGAAATACCAGCTAAGACTCTTACTTGTGCCCATGATGTGCTGGAAGGCATCTGGGGACATGTGTACAGGCACCTGGTAGTATTTTGCCATCCTTTTCAAATCCTTCAGCATGTATTCCCCTCGCTTTGGTAACATTGCTGGCGGCTTGTTACCTTTTAGGAAAAAGTTCTGTTGAGATTTCCAGCTGTATTATAATAACACTGAACAAAACAACACTGGACAAATGTTGCCTCATACATACATACACCTAAGGAAGAGTGTAATTTTGCAGTATAATTTCATGTTGGCTTACTGAAATTTACTTGGCTTTTCCAAAGATAACGCTAGGATTTAAACATGGTTTATTTCAGTTTTGCACAGATCAAACCTTTAGGATAGCTGAATCAGTTTTAAGCCAAGGTACAAATGTCCTAGGAGGGATTTATGTTGATTCAGACAGATGACTTTTAAGCTAGACAACTCTTAATGCATGGGTAAACCGATGTAAAGACTTGTTAATTCATGATTTATGTGTTTTAAGTCTTGGTGATCTGAGTAAGGCCATGAGTACTGTTTCAGGACATACTTGTATCTTTCCTTTAAATTTAAATGGTTTAAAATCTAACTCTAGGAAAACACTCCATGTCAAGTTATTACTATTGTTATTTATTTTGTTGTATTTTAGAACAGATGGACTTTGGCACATACTGTCTGTGTAGTTGCAACAGTGTGAAATTCCTTATGACTAATTTCTCAATCCCTTAGGGACTCCACAATCCTATAGTTAATCTGTTACTGGTGCCACAGCTTAGTTCAGAGCTGGCTCTGCATGGGCTCTGCACACACCCAGGGCTTGAACACTAAGTGCTCTGCCAGTGAAGAAGGTATCTCCCTGCAGAGCTCATCTCCCTGTACTCCATACCAGTTTGTTGCATTATGCCACCAAGGAAAGCTGGACGGAAGCGCAGGTCTATATTCCAGATGTGCCGGTACCGGCAGAGAGCCTGCAAGGTGAAAGAGTAGTGAGGGATTCACAGTCAGAGCTGTCTGTAGAGCTGTGTGCACCTAAGGCAGTAAATACTACAAATAAGTACTTTCCTACTGTATTAGGGGTAGTCGTGAAGCCTTTCCTGGATGCTGCCAGGGAACTCTGATCTCAGAAAACAGGAGGGGTCTCTATTCATGTCACGACAATCCAAGTCTAAGCACGGGTAAGTAAGGGAAAGGTCAGGCTCATGTCATGATCAGGACACCCGCACTTTTTAAATAGGAAAGCTATCCCCGAAGCAAAATGTCCAGCATTAACTCCTGCACTGCCGTTTGGCTCGGACACCCTTCCTGGTGTCCCTGGATTGCAACACGCGAGGCACGCCTCAGAGGTGAGAGAAAAATTAACTTCGGAGCGCACAGAGCACTGCCTGCAGCCAGCCGGCCGAGCTGCGCTTGAGCAGCCCTTCCGAGGGGGAGGCGGCGGCGGGACAGGCCGGGCGCCGGAGAGCCGGGAAGGGCCTCCCTCCCTCTGCCGACCCCTCACCTCGAACGCCAGCCAGGAGTACGGGGAGATCACATCGTAAAAGAGCTCCACGAGCGTCCGACCCATCCTGGCCCCGCGCCGTGCCGTGCAGCGCTCCGCAGCAGCGCCCGGGCAGGGCGGGGCGGCCCTTCCGCCGCGGCGGGGCCGAGCCTCCCACGCCGGGCCCGCTCCGCCTCCCCCGCCGGCCCCGCTCCGCCTCCCCCGCCGGGCCCGCTCCGCCTCCCCCGCCGGCCCCGCTCCGCCTGCCCCGCCGGGCCCGCTCCGCCTCCCCTGCCGCTCGCCTCGGTGGCTCTCCGAAGGGTGCCGACCCGGGAGGAAGAGCAGGGACAGGATCGCAGGGGGCCGGCAGGGAGCTGTGCCCTGTCCATGGCGAGGCCGGGGCAGAGCGAGCTCCCGAGTTGGGAAGCCGGGAGCTGACTCGGCGGAGCGGCCCAGCATGTTTTCCCGGGAGCACGGCGTCCCTGCCGGACCAGCAAACGATTTACTTTAATCTCCCTACCCTCCATTTTTGCCACACTTGTTCCTCTATTCACCTAACGATCTCCCCACCTTTAATTCCTCCCCTGCCCATCCCACAGAAGCTCTGTACAATCCCGAAACGCTCTAGTTCTGCCACGGTTCCCTCCCCACCGCAGCAACGCACTTCACCCCTGGATGTTATCTGGAACGTGCTCCTGGATCCCTCCTTTGGCTGTAATCTTGATTTTTTCAGCAAAGCGGCTTTCTGAATTATGAGTTACTTTAACTCAAGAATGAAAAACCTGAATGCCAACAACAGTTTGCGAGCCCTCCCTGAAGTCTTTCTTAACACCTGAGTACTGGGCAGGAGCCAATCGTTAAGAAAATATTTGGGAGAGAGCTGGGAAACTAAAGTGTGAAGACTTTACCAAGCATATTGGTGGGGAAAAAAAAAAAAAAGTGTGACTGAATAAAAATTCTATTTAGAAGAATTGGTAGGATTTCTCCAAAGGAGAGTCCTGCCTTACGTTTTTCTCAAGGGGTCAAAAATACTGCGGAATGTGACTTTAAAGAGTTGCAATAAGTCACTGCCTCAGGCAGTCTCTGGGGTTTGTGGATTCCTCTCTTCAGACCACTGGAGCCTGTGGATGTGACTGCTGCTTTCCCAAGTGCTGGTTCAGGCAGTAGTGAGGCTGTGTGTCCCAGAGAGATAAATTTGTACACACAGAGTGACTCCAGAACAGCTGGCTACACAGACTACAACCAGCACTGCTACCTGTAACCCCACTCACAAACAACTTCTCTTCATACCTGTTTTTTCAAAAGTTTTAAAGATAGATTTGTAATGAGTTCAGTTGTAGCCTGATTCGCTAGGATTTCATCCTGTATGCATCTGTTTTCATCCCTTAGAAGAGAGACTTTGCCTGATAGATCCCACAGTTAAGCCGTTTTACATGTTTTATTAATCTTGTTAATTGTTAATATGCTTTTAATCCAATTACTCCAATTATCCTAAAAATTTCCTTGTGCAGGTGCAATTCAGATGCAGGCAGAATGCTGTAAGAGTTTGGCTACAAATATTAACACATTCCCCATATCAATCCACTTAGTCACAATGAGGATTATATACCCCATTCACTCAGCTCAACTGCATCAGGCCTGTGACATCAGTTGTTGCCATCTCTGAGTCTCCAGGGATTCCTTCTTCCTGGTCACTGCCTGGTGCACGTGGAGAGAAGTTCTGTCCTCTGCAGATAGTTCTGACAGGGATAAATAGCTTGCTACACCTTTTCCTGGCATAGAATTTGTTGCCCCTGTCAGTTTTTGCTGCTTTTTACTATTCCTTGCAAAAACTTTCTATGTTCCCAGTTTTCCTGTTAGCCAAGAAAAGTAGATTTCATGATGCAGTTAATTCCCATGGGTGTATGTGTTTCCCTCCTTATGTGCCTCACAGCATGCCTGCAGCACCTGTCAGATATTGTTGAGGTTTCTGTGGAAGCAATCAGCAAGAATTCCTTTCTCAAAGACTTGGCCAAAACAGAATTTTGATGATTTTCTTGCAGTTCAATCTCCATTCCAAATAATTCCCAGAAGCTACCCCCATAGGAAAAGCATAAATTTGAGATCTTTGGACAGTTTCTAATAAGAAAATATCATAATTTCAAAAATAACTCAGTTAAAAAAAAAAAAAACAACAACAACAAAAAAAAAAACCACCAAAAAACAAAAGAAGGTATTTAAAAATAAAATCAAAAAAAGTCCACTAAGTCTTAGCAACAAGAAATTGTAAGAGAAATTTGAAAGATTTTCTTAACAGCCATGCTTATTTATCTTTTATGTACGAAATCTCAAATTTGGAAATAACCTAAACTTATGCAAACTAATCCTAAATGCAGGTTGTTCTGGTTCTGCTAGTGCAGGATTAGCATTTTATGAGCAGTGGTGTATTTCCAGAAGAAGTCAGTACAGCTCAGCAATCTCTATCAATGCCCCAGCTCTTCAATGTCGTCATAGCCTGTATCTTCAAGAGCAGGGGATGAGGATCTCTCAGCCTCAGAGGTCCTGTTTCTGGGAATCCAGTCTGAAAACATGAAGGGAAGAACACTGAGATAGATAAATGCACATCCTGTAGGTATTACCTCTGTGTGGTTGTGCAGCTGCTGGTTGTCTCCTCCAGAAATTAGAACCGCAGATAGGAGTGGCTGTGAAAGACCTGAGAAATGCTTATGTCCCTCTGCCTTCTGCAGTGTGTATACATATCCAAAGATCAAGCTTTATGCACAATGTTAAAAGGAATATATTCATGGGCTGTCAAAAAAAAAAAACAACCAAAAAAACAAACAAACAAAAAAACCCAACAAAAAAAAAAACCTCTAATATCTCTCTAGTTACTTTGAGTCCTGTATTTTCATTATTTTTCCACATCTCCAATAGGCCAGAAATATTTATCGATGCTCCAAAGAGTAGAGTTCAGATCAGCTGTTCCACAGTTGTATTAAATGCACTGATAAAGAAAAATCTGTCTTAAATGTTTGTTGTTAATTCACACTGAATTATATGGGCCTGACAAAATTTAGTGACAGGTTAAAAACTTAGCCAAATCCATTCTCCATGGACATAGAATGAGATCTAATAAGGACATTTAAGAGGCTAAGGATGAAGGGAGAAATAGTCAATTGCATAATTTGAAAAATCCATGTGGTATTTTACAGAGCACTATTTGAAGCTGTATCAGATGTTGAGCCCTCTCAAGACTGTCATGTCGTTGGAAAAAAGGGAAGTATCACACTAAGATCCATAAACAGGAGGATATGCTGTAAGAGCTGGTCCTTCTGCTCTACCTAACACTAGTAAGATCTCAGTATCATGCTGTAAAGAAATAATGTAAAGTTTGGGGTTTGAAGCAATTTTTGAAAGATATGGACCTACTGACATGGACTGAGTGGAGACACATCATGGGCAGAGTATAGTCTTCAAGGCCTAAGTAGGAAGTTGACTAATTTAGGTTGTGGTTGTGTAGAGAAACAAAATACGAAACAGAACTGAGGATAGGTATGTGAACAAACTGTTATCAGTCTTCAAGTACTTGAAAGGCTGTTACAAAGACGACTGCAACTCTCTGTCCCCATGGTCATTCTAATGAGAAGTAACAATTTTAATTTGCAGCAGTGGAAACTTAGGTTGGGTTGGCCACAGGCAAGAATTTTATGGCTGTAAGAAAACTAGAGCAGAGGATAGATTAGCTGAATGTAACAGAACAGCACTGCTCTTCTAGCCTCACCTGTCTGGGAATCCTTGTTTCTGTCACTTTCTCCAGGGATCCCAATGATTTCCTGTTCATTCTGCTCAGAAAGAGAAGCATCTCTAGGTCCAGGAGCTTCTATTGCATCATCATAACCATCTTCCAGGGCGTTTTCAGGCAGTGGAAAGGCATCTGGAACAGTACAGGTATTAACTTCCACTAGGGAAAGCAGTAGCAGATCATCCAGCAACACAGGGCTGTAATACTGACGTGTCTGTACTTAACTGAAATCCATCCCTCAGCAAATGTTAGTGTGCACAGTTCTATTGTATATACATATGCTTACCAATAGTAAATGTATAAACAGAAAAGTAAATCAAAGCACTCCTGTTTCACTTTTTACCTAGAAATCAATATTCAATCTGAATAAGAGAAAGAGAAACTATTTAGAATAATTGTCTTCTCTATAAGCACTTCAAAACAAGTAAGGAAAAGCTTTTAATTTGTTTTTTAACTTAAAAAAAAATCCTTAATATAAGAAAAGCAGTAGAAAATAAAGACATGGTGTAGCAGCAGGGTATGGGATATGGGCAACTGAGGTCCAAAACTGCTTCTGCCTCTGGCAGTTGATCTCTTGGACACCAGGCAATGGCTAACAGAGGTTTTCAATCAGCTGTAGGAAAATTCAGTTCTTCTCCAAACACTTTCTCTCCCTCAACTATTTCAAATTATAAAAAAAACCCCACCAACAAACCAAATGTACCCCCAGGCAAACCCCACAGCTAGGAATCTGTATTTTCTTCAGATCACTTGGATTAAGATCCTTTGATCAGCTCAAATTGTACACCAATTATGTACACCAATCTGTCTTTGCTCTGTTTTAATTCTCCCCATTTATCTCAGAAATGAAGCAACAGTTTACAAGCTATTACCATTGCAATGTCTGGGAGAAGCAGCTGTCACATTGTTGGATTCATGTGACTGGAGCTCTGAAGTGTCTTCAGAACTACCAGCAAACATTTATTTTGAATTTCTCTTATAGAAGAGAAAAGTAGCACTTGTATATGAGATTGTATGACACTCTTCCACCACAAGAGTTACACAGAAGATTTTGCATCACAAGGAAACATCACTAGGACGTAAAATGAAAGTCTTAATCACTCATAATGCTTTGGATATTAAAAGTTACCCTGATTTGGGATCTCTTTCTTTGTACAGACCCTTTCTCACATTACCTTGAGTTGCTCCAGGACCATTTTCTTCATCACTGTCTCCTCTATAAAACTGTTCCTTTGGTTTTGAGCTCTCTGAATAAGAATCTAGGCAAATGAGAAAGAGCATGATACCAAGATTAAACTCTCCTTAAGTGCTAAAACT